TTCAAATCTGCCTTTCATGGGTAAAATTCTAGAAAAAGTTGTCTATCAACAACTTACAGAATTTTTAATAATCAATCACTCTTTTGATATGTTCCAGTCTGGTTTTAGACCCCACCACAGCACAGAGACCGCTCTAGTGAAGGTAACAAATGACATCAGACTTAACACTGACGCAGGAAAAGTCTCAGTTCTTATCCTGTTAGATTTGAGTGCTGCTTTCGACACTGTCGATCATGGTATCCTCATTCAGAGACTTGAGGACTGGGTTGGTGTTTCTGGAACAGCCCTAAGCTGGTTTATATCCTACCTACAGGACAGAAAGTATTTTGTGGAGATCGGAAACTGTGTCTCAGACCATCTGGCCCTGACCTGCGGAGTGCCACAGGGCTCAATCCTGGGGCCTCTCCTGTTTAATATTTACATGCTGCCTCTGGGTAGGTTAATACACAGTAATAACGTGTCCTATCACAATTACGCTGACGATACTCAGGTCTATGTGTCCCTGACAGCAGGAGAACATGGACCAGTGGACTCGCTCCTTCACTGTATCCAACAGATCAGTGATTGGATGCAAAATAACTTTCTCCAGCTAAACACAGAAAAAACTGAAATTATTGTTTTCGGACCTCAGAAACAAAGAGAGAGCGTTATCTGCCACCTCCAGTCTCTCTCCCTGAAACCCTCAACTCAGGTCAGAAATCTAGGAGTAATAATGGACTCAGACTTGAATTTCAATAGCCACATATCATCTGTGACATCATCAGCTTACTTCCACCTAAGAAACATTGCTAAAATTAAAAACATTGTGTCTAAAGCAGACTTGGAGATTCTTATCCACGCATTTGTCTCCAGTCGATTGGACTACTGCAATGGCTTGTTCACAGGTCTCTCTAAACAAGCGGTAAAACAGCTGCAGTACATCCAAAATGCTGCAGCTCGAGTCCTGACTAGAACCAGGAAGTACGACCACATTAGTCCGGTCCTCAGGTCTCTGCACTGGCTTCCTGTGGCTCAGAGAATAGATTTTAAAGTAGCTTTACTTGTGTACAAGTCTCTCCATGGCCTCGCACCGGGGTACATCCGCGACATGTTGGTGCCATATGAACCGGCTCGGGCTCTGAGGAGCACAGGGACTGGACTTCTGTTAGTGCCAAGAGTCGGAACTAGACATGGGGAGGCTGCGTTTCAGATTCATGCAGCTAGAGTCTGGAACCGTCTTCCCGAGAGTGTGAGACAGGCGTCTACTCTGGCAGTTTTTAAAACTGAACTGAAAACAGTTCTTTTTAGCTGTGCATACAAGTGAATGATTTTACATTTGTTTTTATCTTTAATCTTTTTAATGCGCTATGATTATTTATGATTATTTATGATTATTTATGTAATCCCTTGTGTGATTTTAATTTTTTACGGTTTTTAACTACTTGTGTGATTTTATATATCTTGTGCTCTTAATCTGTCTTTTTATGTTTACTTAAATTCTAATGTTTGATGATTTATGCATGATGTTATATGGGTTGTGAGGCGCTTTGCGTTGCCTTGTGTAGGAAAGGCGCTCTATAAATAAACGTTGATTGATTGATTGATTGAAATACGCGGCTCCTTTTGGGAGTCGCGTATTTCCCCTACATGTTTTGCTGTAGGGGAAACATGTTTGTGTTTATGGTCCTCGGGATCAGCCCCACACACCTCACTTGTATTTAAACTTTTGTGAAGACCTGTGAGACGCGGCTCGTCACTCGCTGCTCTGACCATGTGAACGAGCCGTCGTTTGCTGCTAGAAAGTTTTGGTATTAACCCGCAGCACAGCAGAATGGGAAGATTAAAAAAGGAGTTCTCTGTGCGCAAAGGTGCCGGAGCTGTTGCGGGTTTGGGCGCCGCTGTCTCGGCTCTGATCCAGTAGAACGCAGAGCTGCACTTATGAAAAGTACGCGGCTCGAAATGGCTGTTATTTCAAAGAACGTGGACTATTTTAAACTACGCGGTTAACCGGTTTCAACCGGTTAATGAGGCTCGGTGGTCGGTCATGAAAATTCATAGTTTTTTACATCCCTAATGTGTTCTTGGCCTGAATGAGTTGAATACATCACTTGCCCGATCGGGCAACTTGCTAAAACAGCGCACTTGCCCGTCCCAAATCTTTAGTTGCCCCGGGCAACCGGACAACCGTTAATGTCGAGCCCTGGAGCAGAGACAAAGGGAGACAAAAAAGAGGAGAGACTAGGGAGAGAGAGAACAGAAATAGGAGAGGGAGACAAGAGAGAGATAAAACAGAGACAAAGAGAGACCGGATAGAGATACAACATAGGAATATGTCCCTTTTATCTCCTGCGCTGACAGTTTTATGATAAACATTATTAAACATGTTTTTCCGGGAGTATCTTGGTACATTAAGGTTTAGCTCAGTATCGCTCCACAGTCGCTCCACCACGGCACAATATGTACTTTTTAACTCCTAATCGCTTTATTCTCTGAGGAAAATGCTGGTTATTTTCTTGCCATATGAAAGAAATTATTCTAAGATCAAAAAGCATTTGCTTTTCCCGCCCCCATGGACTGGTCTGGATACAGAACGCCATAATTAATAGAAGAACAAACCTGGCTTTTTGAAACCGAAAGAAGAAAATGTCACAGGAGGTTGTGTCTACACTGTAATTTATACTTTTATTTTGTACTGATAAAAACAGAATAAGGAATAAGTGGAAAGGATAAAGTTTTTGCACTGAGACTCTGGTCTCTTACCTTTTGGTCTCTCTCTGTGTATTCTCTCCCTTGACTCTCTGTGGTCTCTCTGCTCTCATCTTCACATAGGGTTCACATACAACAGACACATAACGAGTAATTTGTTTAAAAAGGTCTTGTTTTCGGCAAAAACAAGTTGAAAAAAAATCCCTCCCGTTACACCTGTTTTAAAATGCCATTTCTGCCTCTTGTCTCTCGGTGTAACATGCAAATGCAGAGAAGCTTATTATTGCTTTTCATGCAAATTACTCCAAGATTGACTTTGATCCTGGCTCTGTTTTTGGTTTAAGTGGCTTGTTAACTCCATTAGCTCTTTGTAATCATGATGGCCCCATTAGCAGCTAAAGCGATATTGTTGTTGCATTTATGTAATTATTCTAAAGCTGTTCTCTCTCTTTCTCTCAAACACTTCCTGATATACGCTCTCCAGACATCTTCAACGATCTTGTCCTGCTCTGCTGCTGGGCCGGGTCGGCTGCTCTGCGGCAAATATATATTTGAAACAGGTTGCGTACTGCAGAGGGGCTCGTCAAATCCAGACATATTTATGTAATTCCTACCTGTCCCTTTAAGGAACGCAAACCTATTGGCAGATCAACAACTGTCGACAGGATTCTTGAGATTTTGGGCTGTTCAAAAACTCTATTTTTTTTTTATTTGAATTTGTTTATTCTCCCAACAACCAGCTATAAATAAATCATACTCAATACCAAGGCTGAACAACTATTATCACCGGTGAGACAGGCAGCTCGTTACCTCGGCTTCTGTGTCGCTGTGATGTGAGTTTGAAAGTGACATATATGAACTGTGAAAAACAACACGTGTTAGAGCCATGTGGTGGATTGTCTCTGTGTTGTAAGTGTATAAGAAGTACACATGGAAGAAGGACGCCCACACACAAAGAGAGAAATATACTTTTTATAATTGTATCCTGGGTTCAATGTTTAGAATACACTGAATTGTAGGACGTTTCCTGAGAAATGCAGTATTAAGATATTCATATGATGGATAACATGCCATAGTAGCTCTTATTAACTGGAGCTGGTGATGGGGGAAACGAATATCTCAATACTAATGAATCGTCACATGTTTTCCAATTCTCACTCCTAATATTTATCTTGTCCTGTAACAACCACTTCCATTTCTTCTGTGGGAGAAAGTTGCCGCCTACTTTGCACAATGAACGGGAAGAAAATCTCAAAACCCGTTGCTTCAAATTGGACTCAATAGAGAGAGCTCTAAACCACGGGTCGTTATTGAGCCTAAACGGTGAGTTTGACACAAACAGTTACTGAGCTAGAGGAGATTACCTTTACATCCAAGTTAGTTCAAAAGTCATAATAATTTGTTCTTAACGACTGAGCTTGAAAATAAATGGGTAGGGTAGGGTAGGGTAGAGTAGAGTAGAGTAGAGTAGAGTAGAGTAGAGTAGAGTAGAGTAGAGTAGAGTAGAGTAGAGTAGAGTAGAGTAGGGGCTAAAACTCACAACATTAACAAAACACATAAATTCAAAATGGTTTAGTTTGATCCGTTCTCTCGTTGTTAATTAATTTACTAAAGCATCCAGCTCTTCACAAAGATAATTACAAACATTTTCATTCAGCGCCTAAATGAACTGGTTCGACTTGACAGATCACAAACACTGGGGCTTTTTGAACATGTTTTCATTGGAACCGCGTGATAAAAGATGCATTAGCTCCATGAATTTCAGCCAATTACTGACTAAAAGAACTGTTTATGAGTCTTTGAAGCTGGAGCAATTTCTTGTCTTGCTTTGTGCTGCTTTGTGAAGAGCAAGATGGATGTTATTCTGCCGTTCCATCAAACGACAAAGATGACTGAAGTGTGACTAATCCTGCTAAAACATTCAAACTTGTCTGTTTAGTCTATGGTTTCTCCAAGACTAGCTTTTGTTTAAACCATATTCTGCCAACACACACAACAAAAAGTACTTTCATTGCAATGCAAGTTTTATGGACGTTATAATGCTGCAAGAAATGATATCTTTTTGATATCCTGAGACTGATAATACTCTCTAAATGTGTTGGATCGGAGTGTATTCTGTTGTTTTATTAAAATTTTTATACCGAAGAATTTCAATATTTATCATTCTTACTATTAATGCCAATTGTTATTTGTCCGCCACATCCTGACCGCTGCACTTGAGAGACGATCCACAAATGTATTTAGTGTTTTTATATTTCCGGCGCTACATGCTAATGCCACATGCTTCTGATGGTCCGCGCTTTGGTTTCCTCCAGGCCCTGATCCTGAGAGAGCTCTCTGTGATCCGAGACCGAGCGGGAAGTGCGTGTCTGCGGGAGTTGGACAAGAGCAACAGTCCCCTGACCATGGCGGTCTGTGGGTCCAAAGGTATAACTCGCACGTTCAGGGCTAAGTCCGATATTCAGGCTGAGGTGGGCAAGATATGCTTTTCAAATATGATAGATGAGACTATACTCCTGCTTCTGTGTAACCTGGGAGCTTTGATATGGGCTACTGCTTTAGCTTAATGCTGTAGGAGCAGATGGGTTGCTATAATGGTTGCTATGGCGAGCGGATGAAGGCATCTGATAAATTCCATTGTTTTCTTTGGCATATTTATATTTAGGTATAATTATCTACAGGAAGGGAGAGGGAAAAATATAAACACAATCCAAAGCAAATTTCACATGAATGAATGAGACGTATATCAAAACTGGTTGTAGCGGTTTTATGTATTTTACTCATTTAGACCATAAACTAATAACTGTTTTTTAAGACAGATAGAAAAGGTAATTGCTTCACTTGTGTAAATGTCACTCAAAGATTTTTTTTAATCGTTTCTGAGCCAGAAGAGTTTACTTTTCTGTGCGAGTCAATAGGAGCCAGAGCAAAACTTTGTCTATGAGCACTTCCCTACTGGACTTAATGGGGTGCGAGGGTTAGCATTGTCTATCTATACATACATTCTATGATTTCTATGCATCTTCTCTGTACCAGAAAACAAGAAATGTTGGATAAACGATACTTACCGAGACTGGTTTTTGAGTTTATGTTCATATATAAAGTCGAATGAACCATAAAGACAGTCCTTTTATAAAGACAGTCCTTTTGTTGCTTTTGTGGCTCTTCGCTCCAAACACTCTCCAGCTCTTGTGCAGATTAAGTGCCTCTCTGTGTCCCTTTTGTGTCTCTGTGTGCAGGCTCTTTCATCAATATCTCGCAGATGATCGCGTGCGTGGGGCAGCAGGCCATTAGCGGATCTCGAGTCCCTGACGGCTTCGAGAACCGTTCGCTGCCGCACTTTGAGAAGCACTCCAAAGTAAGCTTTTAAATGTGATTAATGTTGAGATCTGAAGATGCTTCTGTGGTTCACAGTGTGCTGTTGTTATAAATGAGTCACTGATGTCACTCTTTTAGAAATAATTTAACAGAATTTCAAATGATTCAGTTAAATTCACAGGTTTTGCAAAAACATCAAATTATTCTCATAACACTCATTACCATAAATAGTCACATTTTATTACATTATATTGTTATCTCTCTCTGGTCTCTCTCTCTCTGGTCTGTTTGGTCTCTCTCTCCCTGGTCTCTCACTAGTCCCTCTCTGGTCTGTCTCTGGTCTCGCCCTTTCTGATCTTTGGTCTCTCTCTCTCTGGTCTCTCCCTCTAGTCTCCAGTCTCTATTTGGTCTCTCGTCTCTCTTTCTGATCTCTCCATCTCTAGTCTCTCTCTCTCTCTCTCTCTCTGGTCTCTCCCTGTCTGGTCTTTGGTGTCTCTCTGGTCTCTCCCTCTAGTCTCTCTCTCTGGTCTCTTCCTGGTCAATAATGTGTACATAGCCTTGAACAGTAGTAATCTCGAAGGACTTTACGATTTGCCCACAGCAGATCAGAGAATCAAACGGTTCAAATACAGGAAATGTCAGAACAAACACCTTTACCCTCGAATACAAGCCTGAGAATGTTGCAAAAACACGTGGGTTGTTAACAATCACTCAAACACTGAACCGCTGTTTGCTTCTGTTCATTCCTAGCTTCCAGCTGCTAAAGGCTTTGTGGCCAACAGCTTCTACTCCGGTTTGACGCCCACCGAGTTTTTCTTCCACACAATGGCGGGTCGAGAGGGTCTGGTGGACACAGCTGTGAAGACCGCAGAGACTGGATACATGCAGGTTTGATTCTTTGACAGAAATCTCACTCTGAAGGCGTTCACAGTCTTTTCAGTCATACCACATCGTTATCTCCCACCCACGGTGGTGGGTGGTCTTTCCCTCTCTGATCACTCTCTAGTCCCTCTCTGGTCTCTCTCTCTTGAGTCTCTCTCGCTGGTCTCTCTCTCTGGTCCTTCATTTTTGAACAGCCCTAAACAGTAGTAATCTCTGAGGACTTTACGATTCGCCACCAACAGATCAGAGAATCAAACAGTTCAAACACAGGAAATGGGTTAAAGTCAGGGTTAGGGAACGGGTCAGAGCGAGAGACCAGAGCGAGAGACCAGAGCGAGAGACCAGAGCGAGAGACCAGAGCGAGAGACCAGAGCGAGAGACCAGAGCGAGAGACCAGAGCGAGAGACCAGAGCGAGAGACCAGAGCGAGAGACCAGAGCGAGAGACCAGAGCGAGAGACCAGAGCGAGAGACCAGAGCGAGAGACCAGAGCGAGAGACCAGAGCGAGAGACCAGAGCGAGAGACCAGAGCGAGAGACCAGAGCGAGAGACCAGAGCGAGAGACCAGAGCGAGAGACCAGAGCGAGAGACCAGAGCGAGAGACCAGAGCGAGAGACCAGAGCGAGAGAGCAGAGCGAGTGAAGTCCTCTGAGATAACTACTGTTGTGATTTAGGGCGGCACGGTGGCTGAGTGGATAGCACTCTCGCCTCTCAGCAAGAAGGTCCTGGGTTCGAATCCCGGCCGGACCAGGGCCTTTCTGAGTGGAGTTTGCATGTTCTCCCCGTGTCCCATCTCTGTGTGGAGTGAGAGACAAGTGCCCAAAAAATAACAATTGTAAACCGCTTTGTGACTCTGGTCTGTGAAAGGCGGTATATAAATAAAGCTTACTTACTTACTACTATACAAAAATAAATGGAATGGAATAGAAATAGATATATGTTATATGTTCTCCCCGTGTCCCATCTCTGTGTGGAGTGAGAGACAAGTGCCCAAAAAATAACAATTGTAAACCGCTTTGTGACTCTGGTCTGTGAAAGGCGGTATATAAATAAAGCTTACTTACTTACTACTATACAAAAATAAATGGAATGGAATAGAAATAGATATATTTATAATATTTTGATCTATCACTGTATAAAGAGGACACAGTCATGTGACCTCTGCTACTTTAAACATTGCATTCCTTCCATCTGTGTTTGTTCCAGCGTCGTTTGGTGAAGTCTCTTGAAGACCTCTGCTCTCAGTACGACCTCACCGTGAGAAGCTCCACCGGTGACATCATCCAGTTCATCTACGGCGGCGACGGTCTGGACCCGGCCGACATGGAGGGCAAGGACGAGCCCCTGGAGTTCAGACGAGTCCTGGACAACATCCGGGTCAGTCACGGTCTCAGCCTCCCTGTAGGAGAAATGCAGGTTGTCCAGTAGCAGCAGAAACACATCCATCCATCCTTAGTGTTGGACTCCACCGGCCGCGTCTTCGTTTATTTATTTATTTATTTATTCGTTCTTATATAACATTACAGTCACATAAAGAACAGGAGTAGGATGAAGACCAAGTCTTATTTAAACCCCTACCCCAATCTTATGACAGTAAGACAACAAACATAGATGGCTTTGTGTCAAAATACAACAAATACAAATACAATACTATTTCTCACTTCATTTAACATAAGATTTGATCATTTTTTGTTTACATTTAAACTTAAATTGTAATATATTTGAGCATGTTTTTAGTTCATTGTCCACAGAGTTCCACAGTTTTACACCAGCGTATGAGATGGACATTTGTTTAAGTGTTGTTCTTGCAAAAGGCATTTTAAAATCCAGATTCCTTCTGCTGATTTAATCGTTTACCAAGAAAAACATTTGAAGGCCACGGGGCAATAAATAATGTCTTGCTCTGAACATAATCAATAATGTCCGCAATACAATTAAATCTTTCATTTTGAACAGTCCTGACTTCAAAAATAGTTCATTTGTGTGTTCTCTTGGAGCAGTTTTGTGTATTATTCGTAAAGCTCTTTTTTGTAGAATGACTAAAGGTTTTTAAATGAGTGTTGCAGGAGTTGCCCCAGATTTCAAGGCAATACATATAATATGGGAGGATCAAAGAACAGTATAGAGTTTGCATTGCCTTGTAATTTAACAGATATTTTACTTTGCTCAATATGGCAAGATTCTTACAGATTTTCTTTTTTGTTGAAGGAACGTGTCGCTTCCATTTTAGGTTTTCATCAATAATGACTCCTAAGAAATGAATTTCGGAAACCCTTTCGATTTTAACACCATTAAAATATAAATCAATATCTTCCACCCTTTTTTGATTGGTGAACAGCATGAACTTGGTTTTGCTTACATTTAAAGAGAGTTTGTTGACATTAAACCATTTTTGAAGTAGGACCATTTCTTTTTCAATAGTAGTAATTAAAGTACTTATATTCGTCCCAGAACAAAAGAAATTTGTGTCATCTGCAAATAGTGCAAAATTAAGTATTTTAGACACATCACACAGGTCATTAATATACAAAAGGAAAAATGTTGGCCCCAAAACAGACCCTTGTGGTACACCACAATTTATCTGCTGACTCTTTGATAGGTGTCCTGCAAAATCTACATATTGTTGACAATTTTTCAAGTAACTGGCAACCCATTGCAACACGACACCTCTAATTCCATAAGACTGTAATTTATTGAGAAGAATGTGATGGTCAACAGTATCAAAAGCCTTTTTCAGATCAATAAAGACTCCGATTGTGTAATTTTTTTTATCTAATTCAGTTGTAATGTCCTCTGTTATTTTCATGAGTGCAAGGGCTGTTGACCTAGGGCTGGGCGATATGGCTGAAAACTATATCACGATATAAGTAATTCATATCGGTCGATAACGATATATATTGAGTTTTTTTTTTTTTACCTAAATAAATATATTTGTCGTGTGGGCTAACCAACCTTAGCAGCCTTGTTTACAGTCACGGGGCGATGAGGCTGGAGGAATATGTTCACACTGTGTCCCTCGTTGTTAGTCCTGGTTTAATCCTGGTTTTTTATTCCTGGTTTAGCTCCTGGTTTAGCTGTTTGAGGGTCTTGTGTCCCCGTGGCCGCTCCGTGCGGCTCTCTGTGCCGCACATGCTTCCCGAGGAAAAAGTTAATCTCTTGCTTTCGCCGAATACATCGGGTCTGTCCACTGCCTCTGCCGCCGCACATGTTATTCCGCGCACGTACGTGCATAACCATTGACATGGCATTGAAACACGAGCTATAAATCCATGGACGCTACGCATGGTGCGTTGTTGGTGTTTTTGCATTTCCCAGAAAGTTTTGCGGTTCCTGCTCGGCTGTTATTGGTCGAGAAGCCTCTGCCTACATCCCCCACAATGCCATGCGCTTATGAGTCGGCTTTACTCCCGGTGTTTTCTTCCTGTTTTTCCTGACGGAGTTAAGTTAAACTATCGAACATTCTATCGACCCCATTCTCTATTGATATCGAACACATGTCTATCGCGATATATATCGTTATCGTTTTATCGCCCAGCCCTATGTTGACCTATTATTCCTAAAGCCATATTGACTGTCATTTAACAGAAAAAATCTTTCAATAAACTTGTTAAACCTATCGATAAAAAGCTTCTCTAGTATCTTGGAAAATTGGGAGAGCAACGATATACTGTAGGTCGATAGTTTGTCAGACTGTGCTTATCACCCGATTTGAAGATGGGGATTATCTTCGCTATCTTCATTTTGTCTGAAAAAACGCCAGTGTTAAAAGAAAGATTAATAATATGTTTCAATGGTTTGCAGAAGCAATCAATAGATCTTTTCACAATGAACATATCTAAACCATCACTATCACATGATTTTTTATTTTTCATTTTAGAGATGCAGGCAATAATTTCAGTTTCACTGACTTCATCCAGATATAAGGATTGCATAACTTTATTTTCATGGTTCCAATTATCTTCATTGTGATTTGTCATTTGAATTGATCTGGCAAGGTTAGGGCCAACATTAACAAAGAAAGAATTCAGTGCATCTGCCATTTCTGCATTTCTGTTCATTAACCAAGAAGGATGGGTGACTGTGAATAACTTTATTGCCTATAACTTGGTGTAGAACTTTCCACATTTCTTTGACATTACTTTTATTGTCTGATAATATTTTTGAATAATAATCTTTTCTTGCATTACGCTTGATACTGGTCAATTTGTTTTTATACTCTTTGTATCTTTTATAAGCATTTGGTGTTCTCAATTTTAAGGAATCTTTGTAGAGTTTGTTTTTCTTTTTGCATGCTCTTAATAATATCCCCCTTGTTAACCAGGGCTTCTCATAATTTTTTGGTTTATCTTCAAATATTTTTTTGGGGCAGTTCTTAACGTACAACAGCATGTATCTTTCAAGGAATTTGTTGTATGCCTCATTTGCCTCGTTAGCTTTATAAACACTTTCCCATTGTTCCTTTAAGAGATCATCATGAAATGTCCTTAATGTTTCCTCATTTCTTATTCTAAGAACTATGGGCTTTTTTTTCTCATTCTTTTTCATTTCACATGAGTAAATTACAAATACAGGAAGATAATCAGTTGTGTCAGTTACCAGAATACCACTCTTAACTGAATTTTTTAGCAAGCCCACATTTAAGAAAACTTTATCAATCAAAGTAGTACAACTAGGAGTGACTCGAGTGGGCTTTGTGATGGCTAGATACAGGCCTTTACTGTACATGACATCCAGGAAATTGGAACTATTGGCATCAGTAGACAAATTAAGCAAATTAATGTTAAAGTCTCCACAAATAAAGATATTTTTATTTTCATTCAAAACAAAAAATATTTCTTCCAGTTTTTCAATAAATGTAGTTATACTGGAGCCTGGAGTTCTGTAGATACATGAAACTACAATATTTTTTTCGTTCTCCCTTTCAATTTCAACGGTTAAACATTCCATTAAATCATTTATTGCTGTTGTCATGCGTTCAACACGTTTGCATTTCAAATCACTACGGACAAATAAAGCAACTCCACCTCCTTTCCGGCATGTTCTATTAACATAAAAGAACTCATAACCTTCATAATTAAATTCCACACCTTTATCCTCTGTTAACCACGTCTCAGTTAAGGCAACCACCGTAAATGTATTATTTAATGTGCTTAAATAGTCCTGAATTTCAAAAACATTTGAATACATGCTCCGGGAGTTAAAATGAATGAACGTAATTGTTTTTTCCGCTTTAACTTCGTCGTTGAATTCTGCATCAGTGTAATATTTACACGCATAGTTTGGTTGCTGGTGGAAATTCTTCTCTATGTCCAAATCATCCTCAAAACTATGTGAGCATTCAGTACTTTCAACATGTGTGAGTTGATCATTCATTGCAGATCAGTGCACCTCTCGTTCCCTCACGGAAACGGATCACGTACCTTATTCATCGTTCATTTTGATCTCTTCGTGCACATCCAAAGAACGGCGAAGCATTTCAACGCTGGTCGTTATTTCACCTGCGGGAGCGTGTTTGCCCCTGCTGCGTTGAGATTCCCAGCCCACGGCGCACAGGGCCTTCTCCCAATCCAGCTCTTTCTTTGGTAATTCCATGGTGACGCCAAACTCACGTAATCCTTCAGCAGCTTCCCGAGGAGACTCAAATGTTTTTGTTTTCCCATCTTGCAGAAACAACTTTAGTTTTGCAAGGAACAAAATGCGGGACTTGATGCGGCGCTCTTGGAGTTGTTTTCTTGCACTTCTATACAGTGCGCGCTCCTTAAACACTCCGGCTGCAAAGTCTTCATCGAAATAGATTCTTCGGTCTTTAATGCAAACCTCTTTTTGACCCCACGCTGCGTGAAGTACTCTTTGCTTCTCAACATAGCTTCTGAATCGGACAATTATGGATCTGGCATAATCGGTGCGTCTTGAGGAGATAACAGCTGCGCGGTGCGCCCTTTCAATGAAGATTTCCTCTTGGATATTTAGCTGCTCACGGATTAACTTTTTAATAAATTCCACCATATTTTCACCTTCCGCTTTCTCCGGTACAGCGTAGATTCGTAGGTTTTTTCTTCTTGAACGGCTTTCCAAGTCTTCACATTTCTCCTATTTGCTTTTGTTTGCGCATCATATGAAAAAGCACTTTAGTGAGCTCTATGCTCTTATCCTCACTGTGCGCAATCCTCTGTTCAGCCTCGTCCATTCTTATTTTTAAATGATCAAAGTTCTGTTTTAGGTCAGTAACCTCTTTTTTCAGATCCGCAAAGTTCCCTGATGTTTCATTTCGAAATTGCCTGAGTTCTTTAAGGATTTCTGAGGCTGAGTTTACACGGAGACAATGTGGCAGTAAAACGGTATAGTTGGATGTCGGTTGCTACCAACCGTTCATACGAAGACAGTGTTCCAGGGGGGTGAAAACGTAAGTGTTCAGATCCAGCCTGCAGAGTGGGACAACTCAGATACGCTGCACAGCGGGGAGCTTCTTCACACCCGCGAGAGGGAAAAAGGTGTGAAATCCCCCTCTGCTCTGACCCCCACCTCCGCGCTGCTCCCCGCACGTAAATTTGGACATGCGCAGTAGCGGAGAACAAACATCAACAATAATGGCGCCGCCCACACAAACTAGCTACGTGGGCTTCCAGCGCTTCACAGAGGATAATTCTACTCCTTCGTTCGTCCAAACGAGACCACGCGAAGCTCTAGGTTCAGTTCCCATGTTCACAGCTGCTGTTAAAATGCAGAATGATGTTGGTACTTTCTGAGGGTCTGGCACAGGAAGTGAGTACACTGCCGAGAGGGGGCTGGGCACGGGGCTCGGGGTCGTGTGTCGTGTTGTAAAGTTTATCTGCCCACTACTGGCCGGGCGCTAGAACTACATCGTTTTTCAACCTTATGTGAACGCTGAGAAATTTGCATTAGGAGCCAGGTCGTTTCTGTTAATAGCCTGGAAACGTATGCACAGCGTCTCAGTATAAACAGGGCCTGAGATTTCTCCTGCGTTATTATCAGACATTTTCTCAGGCTCTTCCTCATTCCAACCCAGTGTCTTGCGCTGACCTGGGTTCCGACTGTTCGCTTCGCTTCTGACTCCTTCCCTTCTTCATTCTTTCTACACAAACCTGTAGCGCAACCCTTCAGGCAACAATAGATTTGTTTGGCTACTTAGTTCACATACGTATTTGCTTGATTTTAAGTTAATGTGTCAAGCGTGTGCTCACGCACCCTGCACACCCTGCACCAGTGATTATTTGTTTACGTTTATACAAATAATCTTTAATTGTATGTAATTTTTGTCCTGGACTCCTTTGAAAAAGAGGTTCTTAATCTCAATGGGACTTTCCCGGTTAGATAAATTTTAAAATAAACGTTTTTTTTTTTTTTTTTTTATTTCAGTGATTCTTTGGCGTACCACTAGAGGGAGCCGCTAGTGGTACGCGTACCACACTTTGAGAACCACTGATCTATGCAAAGCACGGCATATTAAAGCATTGCCGTCGCTCGGATGAGGATGAGGCAAAACTTATTGAAAGCTTTTTTGAAAGCGAGTCAATATTGACATTAGGCAAAAAATAAACGGCAGATTTAAAAATGAAAAAAAATTACACACATTTGTTCATAATCATTGTCATTAACAAACACTTATAACCAAGTACTACAAGCATATATCAATACATGTTTAATAATGTGGTAAAAAAGATCCGTGATGACTAACAGCTCTGTAAAAGCCATAATGGTCAAACCCCTAAACTACATTTCCCAGTGTTGTTTTATAATACTTGCTGTGGTCTTCAGGCGGTGTATCCGTGTCAGTCGGAGCCAGCTCTGAGTCAGAACCTGCTGGTCCTCACCACGGACTCCATCATGAAGAGAGAGGACTTCAAGTGCTGCAGAGAAGGATTCCTCCAGGTACCGCCTCCTCCTGGAACAGACCCCATGGAACACACCCCAGGGAAACATAATCCAGATTACTGTTATCTCAAGTCTATAGTTACAATAAAAGCAGGTCCTTTCTCTCTGTCTGGTCTCTCTCTGGTCTGTTTTATCCCTGGTATTGCTCTGATCTCTATCTCTGGTCTCTCTCTCTTACTGGTCTATCTGGTCTGTCTTGTCCCTGGTATCGCTCTGGTCTCTCTCTTACCTCTCTCCCTCTGGTCTCTCTCTCACTGGTCTCTCTCTCTTACTGGTTTCTCTGGTCTCTCTCTGGTTTCTCTCTCTAGTCTGTCTTGTCCCTGGTATTGCTCTGATCTCTCTCTCTGGTCTCTCTCTCTCACTGTTCTCTCTCTGTCTCTGGTCTCTCTTGTCCCTGGTCTCTCTCTCTGCTCTCTCTCTTTCTCTTTCTCTCTGGTTAAAGCACGATGTATATACAGAAACTAAAAGATGCTTTTGACAGATCCAGGGGAAATCACTGTAGATCCTCTTTTATAAGTGTTTCATATTTGAGTTCATTTAAATTATTGATGTGTATTTTCCTTTTTGAAGAAACTCACAGACACTGGTTCAGAGAAGTACTTGGAGGTACTTTGCCGTTGCATGTTCCTCTGATTAAACCTAAGAGGGCTGTGGCGTCTTTATTGTGATAACAAATTGCTTTTCTCTGACAATAACGCACAAGCCTTTGTGATGTTGTGAATTTGATTTTCCCCTATAGAAATCATTATGGCTCTCACGCCGCTTTTCCACGTCCTCAATCTCCGCTCCGTTCCAATCTCCGCAGAAATTGTTGAATCCATGTGGTTCCATACAAGAAAGAAAAAAGTGAAAAATGTCCTTATTGACTGTAAAGCGGGGGTATACAAGTGTTTTTCCCAACAGAAAGAGTCTTAAAGGCGACATTGTGGGAAGAAAACATACACAACCTGCTGTCTTCATCCTATAAGGAAACATATCTTTTTAATTTCAATCAATCAATCAAAGTTTATTTGTAGAGCGCCTTTCATACACAGGGCAACACAAAGCGCTTCACAGTCCACATCACAAATCATCACATAAAACAAACACCAGAATCACAATTAAAACATTAAAATCACACAAAAGATTAAAACACAATTAAAACATTAAAATCACACAAAAGAATAAAACCATTAAAACTTTCAAAATTACACAAGAAATTTAAAAAAAATAAATAAATGACAGCAGTGCATTAAAAATGGAGATAAATCCTTCAGTTATATGCACAGGCAAACAGAACAGTCTTTTGTGTAACAATGAGCCCTGTGAGACTCTTTGAGGACTGTAGACTGTAGACCCAGGACTGAGGCTGTAGATCCAGGTCTGAGACTGTAGATCCAGGACTGAGGCTGTAGATCCAGGACTGAGGCTGTAGACCCAGGACTGATGCTGTAGATCCAGGACTGATGCTGTAGATCCAGGACTGAGGCTGTAGATCCAGGACTGAGGCTGTAGATCCAGGACTGATGCTGTAGATCCAGGACTGATGCTGTAGATCCAGGACTGATGCTGTAGATCCAGGACTGAGGCTGTAGATCCAGGACTGAGGCTGTAGATCTAGGAGGGAAAGTGGTGCAGCCATCTGAAGTCATTATGATGACAGATGAAGTAGGAGAGAGGAGAGGATAGTGCTCAAGCTTTCATACTTCCCCTAGTTTTCTGTTTCCACGGTGAGATCAATAAAGTGTTGTCTTTTCTTACCCATGAAGCCAAATGTCACAAGGCTCTTTTTTACAAGTATGCAAAATATAAAATTTTCTACAAAGCAAGTTGTGGTATATTTTTTTCCCAACATTTTACTTTAACAAGAATCTTTGTGTTGGGACAAAGTTAGGTCCCCCAGCTTTAAATCTGTGTGTGTGTGAGCGGTGGTGGTGGAGATGGAGGATGTGGAATTGTGGCGTTTAACACTGTTGAAGTTTCTGTGTTTTGACCTGGTAAATGCTTTGTTGGTCTTGTATATAATATATATATATAAAATCTAATGTAAATCAAGCTTTTCTTCAGCAGCTTGGTAATAACTGGCAAAATAAATGAATAAATCTATGTAGCAGGATCCGTAAAATTGCATGGAAGGACCTCAAACTGTTCCATTCTGATGCGAGGGCCCCTATGTTTAGTTTTGACTCAGAGTCCCAGCAGGAGGCCAGCTCTATACAGACTGCGTGCTGTCATAGATGATCTTGTCCAACAGATAGAAGTGTGTTGTGTCGTCATAGAGATAAACCATTCCTCTTTTGTCTGTGCGTTTATGTCTCACACGGAGCGCAGTTTGGATGCTAAAAGGACATGCATTGTTTAGATGCTAACCGCACGTCGCACACTCTACAATCATCGCAAAGTAAATACAATCAGGCTTTTTCTATCGCAGGAAATCAAGAAGTTTGTCAAAAGCACTTCGGAGCGGATCAAAAAGACCAGAGACAAATACGGCATCAACGACAACGGGACCACAGAGGTAAAAACTCACAAAGGCTCCCTCTCTCCTCAGCTCCGCATGTTCACTGTCTGATTGATGGAAAGTGCTCACAACAGATCGATCCTGAGACTCTGTGCCAGGCCTGTTGAAACGATTTAGTAGCAGGGTGTTTTGAGTTCACCAGACATGTCCAGGGGCAGAAAACACAAAATTTAACACTTTGCTTTGACACTTCCCTATGATTTGACATTTGCCAGAAGTGTTTTACTCTCTCATATGCAGTGGTATGTAAAGGCTCTCAATATTTATGATTATCCTTTATAAATTGTTGTTTTTTTTGGATGAGAAATGCCAGATAAGTTAACACGCCTGCTCTGTGTCGAGTGCGAGGTGAGAAGAGCAGAGTTTTGGCTGGTGGAAGCGGCTTCTTTGCAATATTTCGTTCAAAGCAAATGTGTAAATTCATGGATCCTCTTTTACTTCCAGCCCAAAGTTCTGTACCAGCTCGATCGCATCACCCCCACGCAGCTAGAGAAGTTCTTGGAGACGTGCAGAGACAAATACATGAGGTAAGACTGACAGTAATGAGGTTACATAACAGCTGACTTCCTCTCTGCCTCCTCCAGCGCTCAAGTGCTGCAGGAATGGGGTTAAAAAATACACTTCAGGGAGCTGCTTCTCACATTGTTATAGATTTTTTGTGTATCCCTATTTGCACAGGATTAGTAAAACCTTGGGGCCTTGGGGACATTTGTTAATCTTTGAATTAACATACAGTGCCTTGCGAAAGTATTCGGCCCCCTTGAACCTTTCAACATTTCGCCACATTTCAGGCTTCAAACATAAAGATATTAAAAAAAACTTTTTGACAAGAATCTACAACAAGTGAGACACAATCGTGAAGTGGAACGAAATGTATTGGATAATTTAAACTTTTTTAACAAATAAAAAACTAAAGTGGGGCGTGCAATATTATTCGGCCCCTTGCGCTAATACTTTGTAGCGCCACCTTTTGCTGCAATTACAGCTGAAAGTCGCTTGGGGTATGTCTCTATCAGTTTTGCACATCGAGAGACTGGAATTCTTGCCCATTCTTCCTTGCAAAACAGCTCGAGCTCAGTGAGGTTGGATGGAGAGGGTTTGTGAACAGCAGTCTTCAGCTCTTTCCACAGATTCTCGATTGGATTCAGGTCTGGACTTTGACTTGGCCATTCTAACACCTGGATACGTCTATTTGTGAACCATTCCATTGTAGATTTGGCTTTATGTTTTGGATCATTGTCCTGTTGGAAGAGAAATTTCCGTCCCAGTCTCAGGTCTTTTGCAGACTCCAACAGGTTTTCTTCCTGTATTTGGCTCCATCCATCTTCCCATCAATTTTAGCCATCTTCCCTGTCCCTGCTGAGGAAAAGCAGGCCCAAAACATGATGCTGCCACCACCATGTTTGACAGTGGGGATGGTGTGTTCAGGGTGATGAGCTCTGTTGCTTTTACGCCAAACATATCGTTTTGCATTGTGGCCAAAAAGTTTGATTTTGGTTTCATCTGACCAGAGCACCTTCTTCCACATGTTTGGTGTGTCTCCCAGGTGGCTTGTGGCAAACTTTAAACGAGACTTTTTATGGATATCTTTGAGAAATGGCTTTCTTCTTGCCACTCTTCCATAAAGGCCAGATTTGTGCAGTGCACGACTGATTGTTGTCCTATGGACAGACTCTCCCACCTCAGCTGTAGTTATCTGCAGTTCATCCAGAGTGATCATGGGCCTCTTGGCTGCATCTCTGATCAGTCTTCTCCTTGTTTGAGATGAAAGTTTGGAGGGACGGCCGGGTCTTGGTAGATTTGCAGTGGTCTGATACTCCTTCCATTTCAATATAATTGCTTGCACAGTGCTCCTTGAGATGTTTAAAGCTTGGGAAATCTTTTTGTATCCAAATCCGGCTTTAAACTTCTCCACAACAGTATCGGACCTGCCTGGTGTGTTCCTTTGTCTTCATGGTTCTCTCTGCGCTTTAAACAGAACCCTGAGACTATCAAAGATCAGGTGAATTTATACGGAGACTTGATTACACACAGGTGCATTCTATTTGTCATCATCAGTCATTTAGGACAACATTGGATCATTCAAAGATCCTCACTGAACTTCTGGACTGAGTTTGCTGCACTGAAAGTAAAGGGGCCGAATAATAATGCACGCCCCACTTTTCAGTTTTTTATTTGTTAAAAAAGTTTAAATTATCCAATACATTTCGTTCCACTTCACGATTGTGTCCCACTTGTGTGTTGATTCATGACAAAAAATTAAAATTTTATATCTTTATGTTTGAAGACTGAAATGTGGCGAAATGTTGAAAGGTTCAAGGGGGGGCGAATACTTTCGCAAGGCACTGTAGGTCTGAGGCGCTCCCACGGGAAAAGATAGCTCAGAACGTTGCTCTATTTTTAATGATATCGCAGCCAGATACAGTGGGTGTAGAGGCGTCTGCTGATAATACATATAACCATGTTGGAAAATATGGTTGGGATAAGAACTCATTAAGAAACGCAGAATGTATATAGAGCTGGGCACAAAGTCACGGGAGACGACTTAAAATGTTAATGTTGCAAATGTCCTTGGAGGCGCCTTGCTAGTTATAGCTTTGTAAGGTTTTTTTTGTTTTTTAAACACAGACGAGAGAGAGACCAGAGAGAGACCAGAGAAAAATATAGAGGACCACCCTGACTCAGCCAATCAACTCTCAGCCCAAAGCGTCAGATAGTGACTCACAGGGATCATTCTTACTTGGTTTCTGATTTGATGAAGACTGATGAAGACTTGATGATATAATGGAGAGAAATTGCCCCATTTCTCCTTTTCTTAATTAAGGCTCTTTTGTCTTGCTGCCATTTTAATATCACTCATTAGAGCTGATTAATTAGACCTATTGTGTTAAAATTACATGTTTTTATGTCACAGAAACTATAATTTGAGCGATAAGTCGTTACCTCCATTTTGTGGAAGGACACATTGATCCAAGACTTATTTAATTTGTGCTTATGATAAATGTGAACTGTGGCTGGAGAAAGTTTAATTAAAATGCTTTTCAAGATGAGAGAGATTGGGGAGAGACTGAAGAGAGAGAGATAGAGACCAGAGATAGAGACCAGAGATAGAGACCAGAGATAGAGACCAGAGATAGAGACCAGAGATAGAGACCAGAGATAGAGACCAGAGATAGAGACCAGAGATAGAGACCAGAGATAGAGACCAGAGATAGAGACCAGAGATAGAGACCAGAGATAGAGACCAGAGATAGAGACCAGAGATAGAGACCAGAGATAGAGACCAGAGATAGAGACCAGAGATAGAGACCAGCGATAGAGACCAGCGATAGAGACCAGCGAAAGAGACCAGCGATAGAGACCAGCGATAGAGACCAGCGATAGAGACCAGCGATAGAGACCAGCGATAGAGACCAGCGATAGAGACCAGCGATAGAGACCAGCGATAGAGACCAGCGATAGAGACCAGCGATAGAGACCAGCGAGAGAGACCAGCGAGAGAGACCGACCAGCGAGACAGACCAGCGAGACAGACCAGATAGGGAGACCAGCGAGATCTTATAACTGTGTGTTTTGAACCATGTACTATTGTCCCTTCACGTCTCAAACGCTTCTCTCTGTAGTATTAGGGACTGAGATGTTTTTCTGACTGTATATTGTATTCTTAGCATTTCCACAGTCATTGATTGTGTGTCACAAATATGAGAATATGGAGTCTGATAATTGGAATTCCAGGGGGGAGACTACAATTCCTCAATGCATAATTTAAAGGACAAATCAGCATATACAAAGCAGATATATCTTAATTGATCTTGTAGCCAGAGACTACCTTCAGGTAATGAGTTTTGAGAATACATTAAGGGGAAAAGACGAGCAGAAATGAAAATGAAATGAGAAATATGATTCAAAATTGATGTTATGAATTGTGTGCTTAATCTTAATCCTTATTGTCAAACACTTCTCTCTGTAGTAATATGGACTCAGCTGCTTTTCGGTCATTTTAAAGCTAATGTCGGGAGTTTTTGTTGCAGTTGTGTGTGATTGTATTTGTATAAAGTATGAGAATAAGGAGGACGTTCAAAAACCTCTTCGTACCAAAACCAAGTGATTTTAAAATCTGAGCAAAGTGAATGCTGTGTGTCTGAGCGGCTGGGAGGGAGTTGGATGAATATTAGCTTTTGGCCTCAACTAGTTCTCTTCAAACCATGCACAGGTTTTCTTCTTTGCTTTCATTTCTTCCCGTGAATAATTGTTTGTATCTAAGAAGAGCGGGTTAGTGTTGGAAGAAGCCCGTTTTCTCCTCCTGGTCCTTGTCCTTGTTTAAAAGCCCTCTCACTTCACTTCATTTTCCATTTGCAGTCAAACCACATTGGAAAATACTGGTCTCTCTCTCTGGTCTCTCTCTCTGGTCTCTCTCTTGCCCTCTCCCTGGTCTTTCTCTTTGGTCTCTCTCTTTGGTATCTCCCTGGTCTCTCTCTTTGGTCTCTCCCTGGTCTCTATCTTTGGCCTCTCCCTGGTCTCTCTCTTTGGCCCCTCCCTGGTCTCTCTCTTTGGTCTCTCCCTGGTCTCTATCTTTGGCCTCTCCCTGGTCTCTCTCTTTGGCCTCTCCCTGGTCTCTCTCTTTGGCCTCTCCCTGGTCTCTCTCTTTGGCCCCTCCCTGGTCTCTCTCTTTGGTATCTCCCTGGTCTCTCTCTTTGGTCTCTCCCTGGTCTCTATCTTTGGCCTCTCCCTGGTCTCTCTCTTTGGTCTCTCCCTGGTCTCTATCTTTGGCCTCTCCCTGGTCTCTCTCTTTGGTCTCTCCATTGTCTCTCTCTTTGGTCTCTCTCTGGTCTCTCTCTTTGGTCTCTCCCTGGTCTCTCTCTTTGGCCTCTCCCTGGTCTCTCTCTTTGGTCTCTCTCCCTGGTCTCTCTCTCTCTGGTCTCACAGCTCACAGTCCTCTTTCAGAGCGGAGCACCTTGTTTAGTGCTCTCTTTTCAGGCATTGTTTAACCACATCTCCCTCCCTCCTTCTCTCCCTCTCTCCCTCTCCCTCCTCAGGGCACAGATGGAGCCTGGATCAGCAGTGGGGGCCCTGTGTGCTCAGAGCATTGGGGAGCCAGGGACACAGATGACCCTGAAGACCTTCCACTTCGCTGGCGTGGCGTCCATGAACATCACTCTGGGGGTTCCACGCATCAAGGAGATCATCAACGCCTCAAAGAACATCAGGTGCTGAAGCCATGGCCCTGAGCTCTCACAAAACCCATCCCCGTGAGGTTGGACTGAGCAGAGATCTGTAGTTGTTTCGGGGTCAGAAGGTTCAGCTATAGGTTAAGTTTGGAAAAGTGTTGACATCTTATTGAGACGATTGACAATGGAACTATGTCATGAAATCCATCTGAGATCCAGGACTGAGGCTGTAGATCCAGGACTGAGACTTTGAATAATATGCCTTCTAATTTTAGAGTTTTCTAATGTAGTATTCAAATAACTGAAAAGTCCTGTTCTCCTCCCACACCAAACGAATGTAAAACTATATTTTCTCTATTTGCGCTCACAACAACTAATGAGCATCTGGTCCCGCCCACGCAGAGAAGAAACGAGAAAAACAAGACTCAGAAAGTAGTCAGTCCTGGATCTACATTCTCAGTCCTGGATCTACATTCTCAGTCCTGGATCTACAGCCTCAGCCCTGGATCTATCTACAGCCTCAGTCCTGGATCTACATCTTGTGTGTGCATGGACGCAAATCCCTCTCTCAATATTGTTCTCCCTGAGGCTTTTCTTTTCTCCCACTGGGGTTGTGGTTGAGTTCGGGACATTTAGAGGCAGTAAGAGCAGTCTCAGAGGACGCCTGAGGGGCCTTGGTCTTCAGGCAAAATGGGGTTGATGTCTTGCCCAAGGACACAACAACTGCAGACATCAGTAGGTCTGGTGTCGGGATTGAACCCATGTCCGCCGGACCTGAACTGAGCCCATGAGTGAAAGAATTGGACGAATAAACGGAGAATACACATTTTTTTTGTTTAAAGTGGCTTCAGTTATTAAAGTGTTAGAGGTTTTAGACAGACACAGAGGAATAGACAGATGCATAGACAGACGGATAGACAGCCAAATTAACAGATACATAGGCAGACAAATAGACAAACATAGATAGGCAGCCAGATAGACAGATGGATAGACGGGCAGAAAGACAGACACAGACAAATTGCTTTTGGCCTTTAAACTGACTAAAGTATCGTCCATTCCTCTCTCAGCACCCCGATCATTACCGCTCACCTGGACATCGACGATGACGCAGACTTCGCTCGGCTGGTGAAGGGGAGGATCGAGAAGACTCTGCTGGGAGAGGTGACACTCCGGCCTTTCTGCACCAACCCGGCCCTGAACTTTCCATAATAAAAACTCCCAACACGTTTTCCGTTGCAGATTTCTGAATACATCGAGGAAGTTTTTCTGCCCGACGACTGCTTTATTCTGGTGAAGCTTTCCCTGGAGCGAATCAGACTGTTGCGTTTGGAGGCAAGTAAAAAAAATGACAAATATAAATATTCTCTGCAGAGGCCTCATTGACATTCATAACAACATTAGCCGTGAATGTCAGAACCACTCAGACAAAGCTGTCTGAAACATTTGCGTTGCATTCCTGTGATCACGTCGATCCCAGATGCAGACAACACGTCAAAATCAATGTTTCTCAGGGTTTGATCACGTTAATGAATACTTGTTTTCCTCTTGTCATTTAGAGCCAGAGCAAAGTTATAGAGCGAATATGGCCTGTGTGATTCAGGAACTTGAGTCTAGGTTCTGATTCTGGTGTCTGAAGTTTGACTCTGTGGTTCGACTCTGAAGTTTGACTCTGAAGTTTGACTCTGAAGTTTGACTCTGAAGTTTGACTCTGAAGTTTGACTCTGAAGTTTGACTCTGAAGTTTGACTCTGAGGTTTGACTCTGTGGTTTGACTCTGAAGTTTGACTCTGTGGTTTGACTCTGAAGTTTGACTCTGTGGTTTGACTCTGTGGTTTGACTCTGAAGTTTGACTCTGTGGTTTGACTCTGTGGTTTGACTCTGTGGTTTGACTCTGGTTTGACTCTGGTTTGACTCTGGTTTGACTCTGGTTTGACTCTGTGGTTTGGCTCCGGTTCGACTCCGGTTCGACTCCGTTTCGACTCCGGTTTCACTCCGGTTTGACTCTGGTTTGACTCTGGTTTGACTCCGGTTTGACTCCGGTTTGACCCTGCAATTTGACTGGTTTATGTTCCAGGTGAACGCAGAGACGGTGCGCTACTCCATCTGCATGTCCAAGCTCAAGGTGAAGCCGGCGGACATCGCGGTGCACGGCGAGGCGGTGGTCTGCGTGTCGCCGCGGGAGAACAGCAAGAGCTCCATGTACTACGTCCTGCAGACTCTGAAGGGAGACCTGCCCAAAGTGGTGGTCCAAGGCATCCCTGAGGTGTCCCGGGCCGTCATCCACATCGACGAGCAGAGCAGCGTCAAGAAGTACAAGCTCCTGGTGGAGGGAGACAACCTGCGCTCCGTCATGGCAACGCACGGGGTCAAAGGCAGCGGCACCACCTCCAACAACACCTACGAGGTCAGATGGATATAGACACAGATATAGATACAGACAGATAGATGTAGATACAGATATAGACAGATAGATGTAGATACAGATATAGACAGATAGATGTAGATACAGATATAGACAGATAGATGTAGATACAGATACAGACAGTAGATGTAGATACAGATACAGACAGATATAGATACAGATACATGTATAGACAGATAGATGTAGATACAGATATAAACAGATAGACACAGATATAGACAGATAGTTACAGATAGATAGGAGGAGAAATGCTTTTTATGACGTCTTGGAGTCATTTGTCATATTTGTGAATGAGGTTCTTTATCCTCAGGTCTCTCTCTGTTCTCTCTTTGATCTTAGTCTCTTTCTGGTCACTCTGGTTCTCACTCTGGTCTTTCCCTTTTCTCTCTTTCCGGTCTCGCTCTGATCTCCCCTCTGGTCACTCGCTTTGGTCTCTCTCTGCTCCCTCTCTCATCTCTCTGGTCTCTCTGGTATCTGTTAAGTCTCTCTCTCTCTGCCCTCTCTCTGTTCTCTTTAGTCTCTCTCTCTCTCTGCTCTCTAGTCTCTCTCTCTGGTCTGTCCGGTCTCTGCTCTCTCTCTAGGCTCTACCTAGGGCTGGGCGGTATAAACGGTATAAGCGGTATGCGGTATAAATTTGGCCCACGGTAGAGATTTTTGTTATACCGGCATATTGCGATAGGTCATTATGTCATCAAATTGCGCAGGCTCTGACGCCAGCAGAAAGGACCAAAACAAACCGGCATTCAGCAGCATTAGCCTAGCACATTAGCCTAGCACATTAGCCTAGCAGACACCACTGGAAACAACAGCACGGCTTTCACACCGTGTTTCTGTCTCTGTATTGGTCACAGCGGCCCCAGCGGAGGTAAATACACACACAGCAATCACAGTTTACATGTCTACCTTTCGGCCAATGAGTGTCAAAGGGGCGTAGGCTCGAAGCGCCATCGTGAGCCGAAATAGATCCATGCTTGTGCCGTGTCCGCATCATCTCAGAAGTTTTGTAAAGTTAGCGTCCGATTCAGACTTCCGCGGTCAATAGATCACGAAAGCTACTTTGTTAAACAAAATTAATTGTGCCAAAATGAGCATTTACATCAATTGTTCAAATCAAATGCGCTGTTTTAATGCAGATAAATCCATTGAATCATCCAGTTCACAGCAAGCGCTTAGGGAGCGTCAACAAATGGCAAGACTAGCTTTGTAAACGAACAATAGCTTTTACTGAAGCCATGCATACGCACTAAACTCTGACACTATAAATAATGACCATGTCTAACTGCTACAGATATTATATAATATATTTTAATATTATTTAAAATTGCTTTCACAGTTAATGGTCTTTACTGTAACATACATAAATAATGTATGTTACAGCATTTGTCTCTGACCTGATTTTCAAACTCAAAAAATATATATCAGATTCTAATGTATAGATAAGTAACAATCTTGACTATTTTATGCAAGAATCTGCTAAACCTATATTGAAATTCACACACCAAATTATACCGTGATGTATACCGTCTACCGTCTGTGACCCAAATCATACCGCGATATGAATTTTAGGCCATATCGCCCACCCCTAGCTCTACCTATTCGCTCTCTCTGCTCTCTCTCTAGTCTCTCTCTATGCTCTCTGTCTGGTCTCGACTCTCTCTCTAGTCTCTCTGCTCTCTCTCTCTAGTCTCTCTGCTCTCTCTCTCTAGGCTCTCTCTAGTCTTTCTCACTGTCCCTCTAGTCTCTGCTCTCCCTCTCTCTACTCTCTCTCTCTGCCTCTCTCTCTCTCTCTGATCTCTCTCTCCCTCTAGTCTCTCTGCTCTCTCTCATCTCACTCTCGGCTCCCACTCTCTTTCTAGCCTCTCTCTCTGTCCTCTCTCTCTCGACAGGAGAATAATCCAAACGTTAAAACCCGCCGTTTTTCAGGTTGAGAAGACGTTGGGGATCGAAGCGGCTCGCTCCACCATCGTCAACGAGATCCAGTACACGATGGTGAACCACGGCATGAGCATCGACCGCCGCCACGTCATGCTGCTCGCCGACCTCATGTCCTACAAGGTACCGACTCACACTTTCTACAGCACCACATCAACTTTCATATTTAGCTTTACTTTACAGAATAAGAGAATTTACCAGAAAACCTAAGATTCTGCCTAAACTTTCCCGCTACACAGCTTGGAATGTATTTATTTAGGGTATTCAATTAGAGTTCAATTTGTCCTGAGAATAGCACAAGGATTAAACCAGATTCTACCTCTATTACATGTATGTTGCGTGATTATTTCTTTCTGCCTCAGTGTTTGCCTCTGTGTATTGGACTCTCCTCTAAAGCCTGATCCCTGCTGTTTCAGTTATTTATATTCTATCTTTCTCAGCCATGGCTTCCTCTGCGTCCTCTCTCTCTCCTCTGTCTCCTCTCTCCTGTTTTATCTGGCTCCTCTATATTTGTCTTCTCTGTCTCCTCTCCGTTTTCTGTCTCCTCTGTCTCCTCTCCGTCTCCTTTCTCTCCTCTCTGTCTTCTCTGTCTCCTCTGTCTTCTCTCTCTCCTCTGTCTTATATGTCTCTTCTGTCTTCTCTGTCTTCTCTGTCTCCTATGTCTCCTCTCTGTCTTCTCTGTCTCCTCTGTCTTCTCTCTCTCCTCTGTCTTATATGTCTCTTCTGTCTTCTCTGTCTTCTCTGTCTTCTCTGTCTCCTGTGTCTCCTCTGTATCCTCTGACCAGGTCAATCATTTGATAGGATCTTGAGTCTGATATTGTGTCCCCCACTCGTCCATGTGTAGAATCTCAAACCCGTTGTTGTCGTGTGTTTGTTCAGGGAGAGATTCTGGGCATCACCAGATTCGGTTTGGCCAAAATGAAGGAGAGCGTCCTCATGTTGGCGTCCTTCGAGAAGACAGCGGATCATCTGTTCGATGCGGCGTATTTTGGACAGAAGGACTCAGTCTGTGGTAAATACTCAACGTTTTACAATGAGAAATACGACAGAGAGAACATGGTATCAACACGATGTACAGGCCTTTCCTGAAGTTTGGGATGTGAGACAAGTTTGTGTCACCGTTATTTTTGATTCGATGAGTTTGGCTGGTTGCTTTTAAGAGGTCAAACAAATCCCAAGCAGTATTCGCTGGTGGTTTGAAATCCATCCGTCAATCCCTCGAGAACAAGACCCCAAGATTCTGGAACTTGAGAAAGGACCTGTGCACCTTCTATTTGAAATTATAATGTTTAAATGTAAAGATATATAGTTATAGCTTTTATTACAGACTCGTAGTCCAGAACACAAAAAATAGACAACATAATCCTAACCCAACACAATAAAAGTCCCCAAATCTCTTTAGAGGAGGCATCTATACCAGTGTTTCCACAGTGCAGAGGTATAACGAACATCACTGTATGCTCTACTCGTCAACACTAAAATCATCATATTTGCACTATTGTCCAGGCGACACAAAAACTTGTACATTAGGTTCCTCAAGTTGGCCTGCAGTGAGTTCACTCGAAAGGACACAAAAAGTTCAGAAGCGCTGCTCCATCTGGGCCTTTTTAGCAACAGTCTGAAGGCATCGTTGTAGGCCACTTTCAGTCTCTGTAGGCTGGACTTTCTATAGTTCACCCACAGATGAGCCACTTTTACTGCATTAGAACAGTGTGCAAATTTACGCAACAAAATATTACGTACAGCATACGGCACTGTCGATACATATCCTCATCGTCTGACAGACGATCTGTCAGGATATGACCAAGATATTTCACCGTGTTTTCAGTTTTTAGGATGTTTCCAGAGAGCTTAAAGTCAGGAAACACCAGGGCTTGATCCTCTTTGGTTCAACAGGTCATTATGACACTTTTCCTTTTGTTATATTTGATATTGTTTTGTTCACCGTACGCCGAACACACATTAAGCAGCTGCTGGAGACCAGCTGAACTCGGACTGAAGATCACCAGGTCGGGACTTCCGGTCTTGAGGCTCATGGAGTAACACGCACGTCTGGGGGCTCCCGCGGAACCTGTTTTTTAAAGGTTATCTGGAGGTTTTACTGATGCTGTATGAACGTACTATGATGTTATAGATCTATTTTGGCTTTTTATAAGAGTTGTCATGCCTCGAAGAAACAAAGATACGGACAATACAACCACGACGTGTCCGGGGCCTGCCCCTGTAACAACCCAGGGTGAGCCTGCGTCTCCATCTCCTCCTCCGGACAGGGCTGGCGCTAGTGCTAGCGCTGGCGCTAGTGCTAGCGCTGGCGCTAGCGCCCTGTCTACAAGTATGGCCTCAGAAGATTTTAAAGCAGAGTTACTTGCAGCTCTTCGTCAAGAAATGACGGGCATCTTCAAAGCTGAGTTGCAGACAGCAATGACTTTAAATGTGTCGGAGATCAAAGCGGAACTGCTATCGATTAAGACGGAGCTAATGGCTAACCTAGCAGCTATCCGGACTGATGTGAGTGAGCTACGGGGCACAGTGGCTGAAATGGAAAGTTCCCTATCGCACTGTACAGATGATGTGGAGAAGCTTAAACACACCGTTGAAAGGCTTTCCACTCAGGTCTTAGCTCTGGAGAACAAGTGCGAAGATTTGGAGGGCAGATCGCGACGTAATAACGTTCGAATTGTGGGCTTATCCGAACAACATGCTCCTGTTACCACAACATCGATTTCAAGGTTGCTCAGGGAAGTCTTTAATCTGGACAAGGACCCGGTTATTGATCGTGCACATCGCTCTATGATCCCTACACCAAAACACGGTGAGAGGCCACGACCTGTGATAGCACGTCTGCATTATTATACCGACTGCGCCGACATTTTGCAACGAGCCAGGACCCGACAGCGCATAAGGCTTCAGGATTCCACAATCTCTGTCTTTCCAGACCTCACGGCAAAGACGGCGAAAGCGCGAGCTGCCTTCAATGATGTCAGACGTGAACTTAGAGGAATTCAGGACACACGGTATGGCCTGATATATCCAGCTACCCTCCGGATCACGACGAGTGGAGGGGTCACTAAGAACTTTACATCGCCCGGAGAGGCTGCGGTATTTGTGAAAACACTCAAATAGGCGAATACTTTAAAGTTTAGCTACATTTACAGAGCTGGAATTAAGTTTCGTTTTTCGTTTTTTTTTTTTTTTTTATTGCCTTTGAATATGTTTGTTTGATAGTGTGGTATATTGAAGGCAGTGACACTGTTCTTGTTTTTACTAAGTTAATATTAAATGCTTTTGTTTACACACGTTCACTGGTTTTAAAAAATGTTCGTGTAAATGTGCATCCTTGGCTTATCAATCTTTATTTTATTTTTTTTGTTCCGCGGGGACCCCAGTTAAGTTAGAGAGGATAGGTGTTTTCGGAACTGGGAGTTTAGCTTGTATTTCTTTGGCTCCAATTGGAGTCCGCACTGGTATCCTGTCATTTGGGGATGGGATAGTGGTAGGTGCGGGGGGAGGGGGTTGGGTTAATGTTCTATTTTCACTTTCTCTTTTTGTTTTTTATTTTTTTGGGTTGGAGGTCCAACATTTCAAGACAAAATGTGTATTCATAACAATTACTAATGGCTACTATTAAAGCTTTAAATGTGAGGTTTGTCAGTTGGAACATTAGAGGTTTGGGAAGTGCTGTTAAGCGCTGTAGGGTATTTTCCCATTTAAAACGCTTGAAGCCTGACATTGTCTTTTTACAGGAGACTCATATGAGAAATAAAGATCAAGTTAGACTGAGGTGCCCTTGGGTTGCAGAAGTATTCCACTCTAACTTCAACTCCAAGGCCAGAGGGGTTGCCATCATGATTGGTAAATCAGTCCAATTTACTCAAACAAAAATTATTTCGGACAAAGACGGCAGATATTTAATTATCTTAGGAACTATATTTCGAATCCCAGTGTTACTTGTTAACGTATATGCACCCAATTTCGATAATCCCAGCTTCATGAATAACCTATTTGAAAAGTTACCATCTTTAAATTATGTTTATTTTATTTTTGGTGGGGACTTAAACTGTGCTGTAAATTCTCAGTTGGATCGCTCCAAACCCAGCTTGATGCAATCACAAATGGCCAAGACATTGAGTAGTTTTATGTCAAATAATGGCTACATTGATCCTTGGAGATTTCGCAATTCTATGGGTAGACAATACTCATTCTACTCACATGTACACCATACATTTTCCCGCATTGACTACTTTTTCATAGATTCCCGGTTGTTGTCTAAAGTAACTGACACTTCATACCATCCTATTGTTGTTTCAGATCACTCACCTTTATCATTAGACATTCAAATCACACAGGGACCCCGCTATCCCATTCAGTGGAGATTTAATACATCTCTCCTATCGGATGACAAATTTCATGTATTTGTTTTGAGCGCAATCAAGCCCATTTCGGCGGCACTTTTATGGGAGTCTTTGAAGGCTTATCTTTGTGGTCAAATTATTTCTTATTCAGTACGCATTAAGAAATTACGGTTGTTGACGATCCAAAACCTCTCACTAGAATTGCAGTCTGTGGATCAACAGCTCGCAATTGCCCCTTCACCCAATTTATTAAAACGCCGTGTGGCCTTAAAAACAGAGTTAGATTTAATTTCAATTGACGAAGCAGAGCGTTTGCTATTACATTCTCGCTCTAGATATTATGAGTATGGGGACAAGTCGGGAAGGCTGTTAGCTCACCAGTTACGTCAACAAGCAGCTTCACGTCTGATACCTCGCGTTAAGGACGAGTCAGGAACTCTGGTGGAAGATCCAGTTCTTGTTAGCTCTGTGTTTTCTTCCTTCTATGGTTCTCTATATAGTTCAGAGCTCCCTTCGGATTTATCAGACATGCATTTGTTTCTGAATGATTTAGTTTTCCCACGTATGAGCACTGATACAGCCAATCAATTCGGGCGTTCTGCTCTCCCAAAATTTCATCCACTGAGCGGCGCTGTGATCAAAAAATGACACCGTTTGTTGCCCAGTTCACTTCCGGTTGATTTCATACAATGGCGAATATGGCTCACGAAAACAACAAACGATTGACAGTGCCTGAATTGCGTGAAAGGTTGAAGCGAAAGGGTATTTGCAGTGTGGGAAAACGAAAGGAGGAATTGTTGTTGCTAGTTCAACGAGCGGATGGTGTTTATGAAGATTTAGAAGAAGATGACAGCGAGCAGAGTGAACGAAAACGGCTGTGTGTGCGAGTGACAGATGGTAACAATGAGAATGAAGTTCAGCTAAGAGGGAAGAATGTGAATTGGACGGATGATTTGCGCGATATGCCACTAGTTAGAGAGGGGAATGTATTTGCATATCTGATGTCCCTTCCACCCCTCCTTACGAGGCGCTTCCACCTGCTGATGTCTCTGGGGTTTTTCGGCCACTTGACCCACCGCACGCTTGACATCCACGGATATTGACTCTTTTTATTGCTGTTAGATCGACAATTAGCGGCGGCACACTTGAAGCCCATGATAAAACCGGATTCAACAGAAAATGACGAAAACACTCAACCATTTAGAGAAAATGCGCCGGGCAGAGAGAACCGGAAGTTGCGAAGGCAAGTGTTACCCATAATGCAACGCAAAATTCAGTCGCTCCCCCGCCCATCGGATGGAATTTTGGGAGAGCAGAACGTCCGAATTAGACTCTCCATTGACTATTCAGGAACTTAAATTATCCCTACAAAATATGCAGAATAATAAGGCCCCTGGCCCAGATGGGTTCCCGGTCGAATTCTTTAAAGCGTTTCATGAGCAATTAATTCCATTGTTGCTCTCAGTTTATTCTGAATCTTTGACAGTTGGTTCCCTCCCCTTTACATTGAGACAGGCTTCAATTAGCCTTTTGCTGAAAAAGGACAAGGATCCTGAACTCTGCACTTCATACAGACCTATCTCACTAATGAATGTGGACACCAAAATTCTTGCTAAGGCTCTAGCTGGTCGTCTAGAAAAAGTTCTTCCGAACATTGTTTTGAATGAACAAACTGGCTTTATAAAGGGGCGTCAGCTTTTTTATAATGTTCGAACCCTGCTGGATGTCATATACTCTAGGGAAACCTCAGCTCTGCCGGAAGTTGTGATATCAGTTGATGCAGAAAAAGCTTTCGACAGAGTCGAATGGGAGTACCTGTTTGAGGTTTTGACAAAATTTGGATTTGGTAATGGTTTTGTTTCCTGGATACGCCTCCTTTACACATCACCTTGTGTCAGTATTGTTACTAATAATGTCCGGTCTAACTATTTTCCCTTACGTCGCGGCTGTAGACAAGGTTGTCCCCTCTCTCTCCTCCTTTTTGCGCTCGCTATCGAACCTTTATCCATTTACTTGAGATCTTTTCATATTTTCAATGGCATTATGAGATTGCGGACAGAATTCAAACTTTCTTTATATGCTGATGATCTTTTGCTGTATGTCACAGACCCCGTCACTGCATGTCCCAATATTCTTTCACTGTTTCGTAGATTTGGCTTGTTTTCAGGGTATAAAGTTAATGTTATGAAGAGTGAGTGCTATCCGATCAACTCTCCAGCATTGCAGCTTGTACAATCCGACATTCCATTCAAATATTTAGGGGTAAAAGTTGGCAGATCCTATGAATCTCTTCACACTCTAAATTTTTCCCCCTTACTGACTGAGATAAAGGCAGAATTTCAGAGATGGGGTTCCCTCCCCCTTACTTTGATTGGGCGAATTAATGCAGTCAAGATGAATGTCCTTCCGAAATTCTTGTTCTTATTTCAGTGTATACCCCTTTTTCTATCTAATCAGTTTTTCAAGAATGTTGACTCACTTATAACTCACTTTTTATGGAACGGCAAGAAACCCAGGGTCAGACTAAAAGCTCTCCAGAATTGTAAATTTAGCGGTGGCCTCTCTCTGCCGAATTTTCAGTTTTATTATTGGTCTGTAAATATTACAAGAATTACATTTTGGTTGAAATCTGCTGTTATACCTGGGTGTACATTGGAAACACAGTCGTGTCCCCAGTCCTCTCTTCCTGCCTTATTAACTGGTTTGGTCTCAGTCAACCCCTCTGGCTTTACTAGCAACCCTGTGGTCATTTCTACTTTAAAAATATGGTTTCAATTCAGAAGGCAATTTAAATTTCTTACTCCCACAGTATTAACTCCATTGCTGGGAAACCATGTGTTTAAACCTGGTCTCACTGATCCCATCTTTCCTAAATGGCATGATAAAGGCTTGGTGCTTTTTAAAGACTTCTATAAAGATAATTACTTTCGGTCCTTTACAGATTTGGCCAGTGAGTTCGATCTCCCAACCTCTCACCTTTTTAGGTATTTTCAGCTGAGAAACTGTGTTAAATCACTTTTCCCTAACTTTCCTCAACTCCCATCCGAACAGGTTTGGGAAGAACTGTTGCAATTAATTTATTCACAGAGATCCCTAATTTCTAAAATTTATGGTAAAATACAGTCTTATGATGGATATTTAACGACCAAAATAAAGGAAGCTTGGGAGCGTGAGCTGGGGCTGATTTTTGATGAACAGTGGTGGGATTCGGCATTAAATATTATCCACAAGACCTCTGTCTGTGCCCGTTTGCAGTTAATACAATTCAAGGTTGTGTTTAGATGCCATTACTCCAAAACTCGGTTAGCCCGATTTTTTTCGAATACAGTAGACATCTGTGATAGATGTTCAGGCTCTCCCTGTAATCTCACTCATATGTTCTTCTCCTGTCCAACTTTGGTAGATTTTTGGCAATCTTATTTTGAAACCATGTCTAAGGTACTTCTCAAGACTATTCCTAATTCCCCATGCATAGCCATTTTTGGATTCCCTAGTGAACCCACCCTTTTTTCATCTACACAGTTGGAGGTTTTGGCTTTTACGTCTCTGATGGCCAGGCGCCATCTCCTCCTTCATTGGAAGTCCACTAATCCACCTTCCAAAACACAGTGGATTAATGAGGTGATGTCATTTCTAAAGGTGGAAAAAATTCGATATTCTAGACAGGGCAGCCTGAACAGATTTTATAAAAAGTGGCAATTGTTTATTGATTTATTTTGAATGTATCAGGATTTAATCTCCACCCCTTTTGTTTTTTTTTTATTATAATTTTTTTTATGTATGTATATAGTCACACATTATATATATTTTTTTTGTTGTTGTTATTTTTTTTATTTTTTTTTCTCTTTGCTTGTTCTGCTCTACTTTTTTGTTTTTTTTAAATTAGTTTATCATTATGGTATTTTTGTTGCTGTGTTTATACCTTTGTGCAATTGGGTTACTGCTGACTATTTTACTATTATAATCTATTATTTTGTTCTGTCTATCAGCCGTACGGGCCGATATATTTTGTCTCATCTACTGCACTTTGGGACATCTGAGGTTGTGTTTTCTTTTTATTGTTTTTCATAAAAATGTGGAAAAAAGGTATATGCAAATATGTTCCATTTTGATTTTTGAGCAAGTAAATGTATATTTGTGTTTGCCTATCAATAAATATATAAAACAGAAGATCACCAGGTCATCAGAATACATTAAGTGGTTAACGATACTATCTCCAGCAACACACCCAGTTCTACACCAGTTCAATTCTTTGAAAAGGTCATTCATATAAAAATTAAATAAAATTGGAGACAGCAAACTCTCTTGTCTCACACCATTGCTGACCTGAAAGGGTGCAGATACACAGTTGTCCCATTTGACCTGCAGAGTCTGATGGGCATACCAGTAAGACAGGCAACGGACTACATGTTTAGGAACACATAAAAACAGTGGATTGTCTACTTTTATATTTACTTAACCATTCTTTTAAAGCATAAATACAAATAATCAGTACCATGATGGGCTTTGAAGCCAAATTGATTGTCCGTGGAGTTGATGTGAACACTGAGCCTGCTCATGGGCGAAGAAGGGGTTCCACAAGGATCCATTCTTCGCCCATTGGTCTTTTCTTCACCGCCGCAAAATGTCTGTGTTGATCTCTGCATTTACAGCTGACGTGTGTGTGTGTGTGTGTGCATTTGTGCGTGTGTCTGTCTCTCTCTTCCCATCTTGCTCTTACGTCTCTCTTTCTGTCTGTCTCTCTCTCTCCTTCAGGTGTCTCTGAGTGCATCATTATGGGAATCCCAATGAACATCGGCACCGGACTCTTCAAACTGCTGCACAAAGCCGACAAGCAACCTGCTCCTGCACAGCGCCCCCTGCTGTTTGATAGTCCAGACTTCCACGTGTCTCTGATCACGTAGCACAGGCTTCCGGAACAACTACAAAGACTTTAGCTCCGACAGATTCATGCAGCAACTCTTGGTTTGACTCTGTTCTCATCGCTTCATCTGAAATACACCATCAAATATTTCTTTGTGTGTCTTTTAAAGATGGGGGACCTAACTTTGGAACCACAAAACAAAACAATACTTTGTACTAAAATCCAACTAGTTTCTCGCTCACAAAGCAGACGAGAGAGACCTGAGAGAGAGACCACGGAAAGAGAGAGAGGGACTGGAGAAAGAGACGGAGAGAGGGAGGGAGAGAGAGAGACTGGAGAGAGAAGGACCAGAGAGAGAGCAGACAATCAGCTCTTTTTATGTAAAAGATAATATTATTTCTAATGAGGTGTGGTCTGTTGGGACAAATGTATTTATGAAACCAAAATAAAGTCAGGTACCCCAGCTTTAATGGTATCATTCTGTTTACGTCTCTGACTTGAATCTAATTTGTCTTTCACAAGAAGCACTTAGAAATCTAACGGGATGTGGAGGATGTGTTTGAAAACCTGTTGAAAGTGATATAAATGCGTTTTTGCTTTTGTGTTTTTTTTGCTGTGGATTCAGTTTGATTCAGTTTCTTCACATCAAATAAATAATGTACAGTTATGTGGATGTCATGGCCCTGTTGTTTTTACAGTAGGGCTGGGAACTGGCTAAAATGTGACAGTTTGATAGTATTTGCCCTTTAGCATTTTCTGAGCAAGATTGATTTTAGTGCCATACAAGTGTTAACCTGGCCTTAGCCATCCGTAAACTCTGGGTGTCGGTGACGTCAAGAGTCTGCGCCAAATTTGCGAGTTGTAGTTTTGCAACGGCGGCGAATACTATAGTAAAGTTATCCGTTCTGGCTTGGCTCCAAATATCAAGAAATTGAAGCCGGAGCCAGAGGAATGTTTAGCAGATGTCATTGCTGGCAAAGCCCCATGGGCTCCTTTAAGGCAAAGGAGATGGCTAAAGCTAGGCTAAATGCTAAATGCTTCACTCACTCGGGCGCATTACATAAACTCCGATCCTATCGTTTCAATCTGCAAAAGGAGCTAACCCCTCCCACCTGTTATCGGAGCTGAATGCAGCAAGTCACCCCTTTAAAATTTCCACTAATAACAAAACCTGTTGATTGTAGTGAGAACAACCTTTTGACACATTATCAGAACTGAGACGTCCGTTTTTTGCAAAACAACTCTTTATTTTAACTGTTAAAGCATCCGTACAACACTGAATCACTAAAGAACTTTCAGATTCAGAGCCAAAATCCTCAAACGCTTCAGAAATTGTGCAGTGAAAACCCGCATTTCCATGAACAATATGTATACACAGTTCAGAAGAAAGCAGCACAAGACACAAGGACAAACGAGTCACGAACCTGAAACTGTTTTAAAGAAGTGTAAAAATTGTAGTGTTTCAGATAAATTAAAATGCTTGTGTTTTAAAAGTTGTTGTATCCAGTTTTTACAAAGCCAAAAGCCAAAACCTGCTAAAATTGATCTCACAAACCGGCACCCCCTGTGAGCGCTCATTCTGCTCTCTGATTGGATAATCTGCTGGATATTAGTAAATGTAAATAATATGGTATTTACATCCATACTTTGATTTATGAAAGTAAATAAATCAAAGTATGATTGATTATGATGATGAAAATACAGCTCCAGAGAGAAAAGAGAGAGAGAGACCAGAGATTCTGTGTTGGAGCGAGGGACCACAGTAAACATAATGCATTCATCATTCTATGGAAAAAGTTTGTCTTTGTGTCTTTTTGTGTCTGCTCGTAAAGAACCAAACTTCTGTAATCTCTTGTTTGAGGTAGAACCATGAGAGAAACAAACAAAACGGTCAGATCCAGAATGGAACAGGATCTGTAAAAGAATATTCTTTTTCATAGTAGAATAAATTCATAATCTTTTTATAAAACACTGCATTTATGTCTGCTCCAACAGAGGGATTTATCAAAGGCAACAAGCAACAGCGGCGCCACAACAATAGAAATATAATACATATAAATTGTGTCGCATTTTTTGACATTCTTTAAAATATACATCTGAAATCTGGAACAGTCTGCCTGAAAATGTGAGACAGGCTTATACTCTGACAGTGTTCAAATCCAGGTTAAAAATAGTTCTGAGAGAGACCAGAGAGAAGAGCAAGACTAGAGAGAAGAGAGGCAAGAGAGAGACCAGAGAGAAGAGCAAGACTAGAGAGAAGAGAGGCAAGAGAGAGACCAGAGAGAAGAGAGGCAAGAGAGAGACCAGAGAGAAGAGAGGCAAGAGAGAGACCAGAGAGAAGAGAGGCAAGAGGGAGACCAGAGAGAAGAGAGGCAAGAGAGAGACCAGAGAGAAGAGAGGCAAGAGGGAGACCAGAGAGAAGAGAGGCAAGAGAGAGACCAGAGAGAAGAGAGGCAAGAGAGAGACCAGAGAGAAGAGAGGCAAGAGGAGACCAAGAGGCAAGAGGGAGACCAGAGAGAAGAGAGGCGAGAGAGACCAGAGAGAAGAGAGGCAAGAGAGAGACCAGAGAGAAGAGAGGCAAGAGGGAGACCAGAGAGAAGAGAGGCGAGAGAGACCAGAGAGAAGAGAGGCAAGAGAGAGACCAGAGAGAGAAGAGAGGCAAGAGGGAGACCAGAGAGAAGAGAGGCAAGAGGGAGACCAGAGAGAAGAGAGGCGAGAGAGACCAGAGAGAAGAGAGGCAAGAGAGAGACCAGAGAGAAGAGAGGCAAGAGGGAGACCAGAGAGAAGAGAGGCGAGAGAGACCAGAGAGAAGAGAGGCAAGAGAGAGACCAGAGAGAAGAGAGGCAAGAGAGAGACCAGAGAGAAGAGCAAGACTAGAGAGAAGAGAGGCAAGAGAGAGACCAGAGAGAAGAGAGGCAAGAGGGAGACCAGAGAGAAGAGAGGCGAGAGAGACCAGAGAGAAGAGAGGCAAGAGAGAGACCAGAGGGAAAAGAGAGACACAAGAGAGACCAGACATTAGTTTGGATTTAGCTAAAACAACTCATGTTTTTTTAATTCGGAAAAAACACACCCCAGTGATTTGACGTTGGATAAACTTTTCATTCTAAATCAATGCCTCTCTCTGCACTCACTCGGACAGAAACATTGTCATTATCGAGCTGTGTCCAGGCATTCAAAAAAAAGTGCATTCATTTCATCAGAACAGCATTTACAGACGGACGCTCAGCAAAGTAGCGGTCGATGGAACTCACTGTGAGACTTTTACGAATCAATACACAAAACACAGCTGTAGAGGCATCTGTTTTTGACACATTCTCGTTGTTTTTAATCATTTTCTCGCATAATCTTGCACAGGCTTTCACTTCGTCACATTAGTCTCGTTCTCAGGTCTCCGCGTCCTGTGGCTCAGAAATCTTTTGGTCGAGTTGAAGCCTAAAATTGTCAAAGAAATGTACTATTTTCACCCACTATAATCACATACTTGATCACGACAGACGGGCGGTAGAAGCCGGTCACCGACAAACACGAAGATTTTTTTCCAAAGACGACATTTAACGGTAAAATCAGGCCTGGTCCATGGCTGAATCGTGGACTCCTGTCTGTGCCCGTGTCTGTACAGCACTTTGAAAACCCTTTTTTCTTTTTTTAAATATGCCTTATAAATAAATATTGATTTGTTCGTTCGAGTCTGCTCTTCTTCTGCTATTTTACATTTTCCCATTCCCTCAGACCTGCTCCATGCCTCCTCCTGGTGCACACTGGGGTACACTTGCACAGTTATTCCAATGTGGTTTTACTGCAAACGGCAAATACATTGAATCAGAATCTTGAATAATAAACCTTCTTAACCAGAGTCTGTTCACCAAACCAAATCACGTCATGATAGAAGATTCTGCAGCTACATTGGTGCGATTCTTGGCACACAAGCTAACAGGCAGTTTCTCGCCAAATCCCACGTGGTTTTGCAATCCCGTCTCAGAAAGCCTGGTCGATATATTTTAGTAAAGTGACCTTCCACAATGTCTGCTTCTGCTGTTATACATTGATTTCTTCAGGCCTTCTCCCTGGCTGTATCTTGGACTCCTGTTGCTACAGCACTTTGGTGAATCTCGCCTGTTGTAAATGTGTGTTATAAATAAAGATTGATTGATTTGATTGGTTCATTTGACCAGAGACGAGCTGTTTGCCGGCAGCTCGGTCTGTATCGTGTTGGTCTTCCCCTCGGTCGTTGTCTTGGAGCTGTCTCCTCTGGACAGCGTCAGGGGGTTGTCCTCGTGGGAGCTCGGCTTAGATTCGCTGCTCCTGGAGTTGACGAAGGCCTCTCTACTCTGGGGTTGGATGAAGTGGACGGTGAGCTTGGGCACGACCGCGGCGCCGCCCTGCTGTCGGGGGGAGGGCGCGCGGAGGCAGCGGGAGAGAGTGGAGACGCAGCTCTTTTTGAAGTTGTCGTTCATGAAGGCGTAGACGATGGGGTTGTTGAAGCTGTTGAAGAAACCGATGGCCTGCACCACCGCCACGATCATGGTCACCGTCACGCCGTCGTACTTACTCTCCAGGTCGTCTGAGGAGGGGGAGGAGGAGCAAGATGCATTAAAGAAGGAAAGAGGATAGACATGCATTCAAAGAGACATGGTATGCACATTTTCAGAGTGATGAAAAAGCAAAGTAAATGGTCTCATCATTTTGAACGGCTTCAGTAAGTGTCATAATTGCTCTCTGTGAAACCATTAGCACCAGTTGCAGATACAGGAGGTGAGTTGGATCTTACTGTATTCAAAAAGCATGTGGACCGTGTGAAACGGCGCCCAGCAGACTGTGAACAGCAGCACGATGGTGATCATCATTTTCACAGCTCGCTTCTTCTTCCTGAAAAACAAAAACCGTATCACAGACTGGAACCAGGAGGCCTTAGACACTTTGAGAATATCTATATCTATACCAATCTCTATCTGTAGCTATATCCATCTTCCTCTCTCCCTCCATCCTCCCTCCATCCTCCCTCACCCTCTGTCTACAAGAAATTCCTGGTTCTCTTCCAACTTCCTCAAACTCAACAGCTCTACTGAAACTGAAGTCCCTCTCATAGACACCCCCCCCCCCCCCCCCCCCCCACTCTCTCCAAGTCTAACAGCTTCTCTGTCTCCATCCATAACACATCTGTCCTCCTCTCCCCTCAGGTCCAGAGTCTGGGTGTCATCCTCGACAGTTCACTCTCCTTCCAATCTCACATCAATAAGATCTCTATGTATTTATCTCTGACTCTATCTCTCTGTATATCTATCTCTATCATGAATACAGTGGTATGACACCGTTCAGCAGGTGTGTTGGTAACTTTGCAGTGGCTCCTCCAGTCTTTGTATAAAGTGTTGTTACCCAGAGATCTTGGTGACCTCCCTCTGGTTCATGGAGCTGAGCACAGACGAGTCTCCCACTCGTTTGTGGATCCAGAGCTCGATGCTGATGCGAGTGTAGAGGAAGAGCATGGTGAGCAGCGGCAGCAGGAACAGCGCCACCATGATGAAGGTGGAGTAAACCTGTCGGTGCAGCAGCGACCGCCAGCTCTCCTGGCAGCACACGTGGTAGAGGTCGTACAGGAAGTCGTACTTCACCTGGAGCAGAACACACTCCTTTTAGTGTGCTATACAATTAAACTGTTAGTGCCTTATGTTACTGTCACAGACATCCACAGGTTTGACTGTTGGTGCGAGAGGTTGACTTTATGGGAATATTTTGTTTAAAGGAGGTGAGAAGGGAGGAGAGGGGAGGGAAGAGGAGAGGAGCAATCAGAAACACAAATTAAATGAGACTTATCATGCACAATCTTTGAGCGCTTCTGGTCCCCACCCCCCCTCCCCCTCTCCTCTCCTCCCCTCCCCTCTCCTCTCCTCTCCTCCCCTCTCCTCTCTCTCCTCCCCTCTCTCTCTCCTCCCCTCTCTCTCTCCCCCTCTCCTCTCCTCCCCTCCCCTCTCTCTCTCCTCCCCTCTCTCTCTCCTTCCTCTCATCTCTCCTCCCCTCTCTCTCTCCTCCCCTCTCTCTCTCCTCCCGTCTCTCTCTCCCCCTCTCCTCTCCTCCCCCCCTCCCCTCTCCTCTCTCTCCTCCCCTCTCCTCTCTCTCTCCTCCCCTCTCTCTCTCCCCCTCTCCTCTCCTCCCCTCCCCTCTCTCTCTCCTCCCCTCTCTCTCTCCTCCCCTCTCTCTCTCCCCCTCTCCTCTCCTCCCCTCCCCTCTCCTCTCCTCCCCTCTCCTCTCTCTCCCCCCTCTCTCTCTCTCCCCTCTCTCTCTCCTCCCGTCTCTCTCTCCCCCTCTCCTCTCCTCCCCTCCCCTCTCTCTCTCCTCCCCTCTCTCTCTCCCTCCCCTCTCTCTCTCCCCCTCTCCTCTCCTCCCCTCCCCTCTCCTCTCTCTCCTCCCCTCTCCTCTCTCTCTCCTCCCCTCTCTCTCTCCCCCTCTCCTCTCCTCCCCTCCCCTCTCCTCTCTCTCCTCCTCCATCTCTCGCTCTCCTCCCCTCTCCTCTCTCCTCCCCTCCCCTCTCCTCTCTCTCTCTCCCCCCTCTCTCTCCTCCCCTCTCTCTCCTCCCTCTCCTCCTCCCCTCTCTCTCCTTAATGAATCCTATGTTACAGCATATTGATTATCTCTGTGGGTAAAATGCTAACGTGTGGGATTATCTGACTTAAGCTCATTCTCAGGGGTCGTCCTGAAGCCAGGTCGTCAGGGGCAACAGTCCTCACTCCCAGCAGAAATAAATACTACCACTATTGTAGATCCTTAAGGAGAAAAAAACAAAATCTGTCCTTCACTCTTTGTGTGAGACTCACCTCCAGCTGCTGCACGAACAACATGGGAGAGCCCACCATCACAGAGACCCCCCACACCAGGCCTAAAGGGACACAGGGACACAGAGAGGATGTTGAAAGTGCGTCATTTTTCTAAGAGTTTCTCACTGAAAATTAAGTTGATGCTGAACGTGTGATTTATAATAAAAAAGTTAAAGGTGTGACTGTTTTGACGTATCACCCACTAACTTAAAGCTGGGGTCTGTGAATTAACTTCTTTGTTTATTGGAACTGAAAAAAATATTACTACTACTACAACAACAACTGCACTTTAAGGAGGGTCTAAGGAAAGAAATAATCCAGGACTCCACATTCAACAACATTTATGTCATTAATGAACCAGAGAGACTAGAGACCAGAACGAGACCAGAGACAGACTAGAGAGAGACTAGAGAAAGACCAGAGAGAGACGAGAGCGAGACTAGAGAGAGAACAGAGAGAGACTAGAGAGAGACTAGAGCGAGACTAGAGAGAGACCAGAGAGACCAGAGAGAGACTAGAGAGAGACCTGAGAGAGACCTGAGAGAGACCAGAGAGAGATCAGAGAGACTAGAGAGAGACTAGAGAGAGACCAGAGAGAGACCTGAGAGAGACCTGAGAGAGACCAGAGAGAGATCAGAGAGACTAGAGAGAGACCAGAGAGAAACCAGAGAGAGACTAGAGAGAGACTAGAGAGACCAGAGAGAGACTAGAGAGAGAAAAGTAAGAGAGTATTCTCAAGACTTTTGCAGTTTGGCTTCAGTGTTTTGCAGTTGGGAGAGAAGAGCAGGCTCACGAGGACAGCTGGGGCTCAGGTGTCGATCTGTTTGATGGAGGTGGTGATAATTACTGTGAGACTGATTACTCTGCTCTTTCTCTCTGATGAGCCGCTGCCTCAGGCTGTTGCTGCACTGTTCTCACTGCTGCTCTATGTGTTCTGTTTGAGTGAAAGTAAAAGTGTGAGTTATGATTAAAAAGAGTGACTTAAAGCTGGGGTCTGTAAATTAACTGTATTTATTGGAACTACAATATTACTACTACAGCTACTCTTTTTTGTTTTTCTGCTCTCTCTCTGGTCTTACTCTGCTCTCTCTCTCTCTCTCTGCTCTCTCGCTTACTTGCATTTCTGTATTTGTCCCTCTGTGGAGACATGTTAGCCTGACTCTCGCCACTTTTGAGTTAAGTGAGTGGGCTTTAATCAGAGCTGTCCTCTCGCTGCGAACCCTGGAACTCGCTCACCTCTGCTTTTCCATCTGCAGAATTGGCCGTGCTCCAGCCGTGTGTTTGTTGAGGAAGGTGGGCGAGAAATTTGAGGAAACATGTTCTGAGCAGATTTCAGCTTCAGTAATTGGCAGGACTACAGGAGCCTCTCGGACCACAGCAGCCGAGTGAGAAAACTAACTATTAATACTCTAACCTGCTGCTGCTGCTGCTACTGCTGCTTCTGCTGCTGCTGCTGCTGTTTGTGCTAGAAAGAGATACATCCTCTATCCAGCTGCATGAATGGGATTAGGGATGTAAAAAACTATGAATTTTCATGACCGACCACCGAGCCTCATTAACCGGTTGAAACCGGTTAACCGCGTAGTTTAAAATAGTCCACGTTCTTTGAAATAACAGCCATTTCGAGCCGCGTACTTTTCATAAGTGCAGCTCTGCGTTCTACTGGATCAGAGCTGAGACAGCGGCGCCCAAACCCGCAACAGCTCCGGCACCTTTGCGCACAGAGAACTGCTTTTTTAATCTTCCCATTCTGCTGTGCTGCGGGTTAATATACCAAAACTTTCTAGCAGCAAACGACGGCTCGTTCACATGGTCAGAGCAGCGAGTGACGAGCCGCGTCTCACAGGTCTTCACAAAAGTTTAAATACAAGTGATGTGTGTGGAGCTGATCCAGAGGACCATAAACACAAACATGTTCCATGTGGTTTGACTGGAACCGTGTATTTGCGCGAATCCTTTGGGCTCCGTGACACAGAGGAGCGCGACAGACCGGTATGTGTGTGTGTATGTGTGTGTGTGTGTATGTGTGTGTGTATGTATATGTGTGTGTAAATGTAAGCTCCAATGTAGTTCTGACCCGCGCCAGTGTGCAACTTTGACGGTAAAAGAGGGGAGAGATGATGCGTGTGGATGTTACGTATGGAGAGGGGGAAAGTGTGTGTGTGTGTGTGTGTGCGCGTGCGTGTGTGCATATGTGGCTCGTGCGGCGTGAGAGTCGTCCCGGAGTTTATAATACATGGGCGCACACAGCTAGATACAGACCCGCTCGTCACACCGTGCAAATAGGGCTTAAAATAGCGTTATTAAGAGACCTCCCCTCTCCCCGTTTTCTCTTTTTTAACCGACAGCTTTGACCGGTTAACACTGTGACGGTCAACCACCGGTTAACCGGTCGCCGATTTACATCCCTAAATGGGATCACTGCAAATGCAATATATACCCCCAAGAAAGTAGGTTTATGAAGCGATGAGAAAGTAATGACTGATTGTCCTCTTTGAGAGAGACCAGGGAGAGACCCGACGTCTGGCACTGCAGGATTTGAGGCCCTGGCGGCGTGTTACTGATAGTAGCCTTTGTTACTTTGGTTCCAGCTCACTGCAGGTCATTCAGGTTTCCCCTCGTGTGGTTCTGGTATTTTTGCTCAATGGTCTTGACCCCACGGGATGAGATCTTGCGTAGAGCCGCAGATCGAGGGAGATTATCAGTGGTCTTGTATGTCTTCCATTTTCTGATAATTGCTCCTACAGTTCATTTGTTCACACCGAGCTGCTTATCTATTGCAGATTCAGTCATTCCAGCCTGGTGCAGGTCTACAATGTTGTTTCTGGTGTCCTTTGACAGCTCTTTGGTCTCGGCCATAGTGGGGTTTGGAGTGTGACTGTTTGAGGCTGTGGACAGGTGTCTTTAATGCTGATGGCCAGATTAAACAGGTGTCATTAACACAGGTGAAGAGTGGAGGACAGAGGAGCCTCTTAAAGAAGGGCTCAGGTCTGTGAGTTTTTTCTCATTCTGTCTGTGATTGTTGAGGTTTACCTATGATGAAAATTACAGGCCTCCGTCATGTTTTTTAGTGGGAGAGCTTGCACATCTGGTGGCTGATCATCATCATCATCATCATTATTATTATTTTACTTTATTTAGTTTAGTTTTGTTATCTTTTACAAAAAAAAGAAAACAAAACAAAAATTAGGGCTGGGACTCGATAAAAAAAAAAAATCTAATTAATTAGAGGCTTTGTAATTAAATAATCGCAATCAATCACATTTTAATCGCATATGAACATCACACACCTGAGAACAGCGATAAGTCATTTGTTTCCCATCCACAGACCAACAGCGGTCACATCAGCTTCTTTGTTCATGTTCACTGTGGTTTGTTGTTGTCTGAACATAATTAATGTGCGTTAGTTGGTGCTCCAGTTCAATCGGTCCGTCTGAGGCCCCGGAGCCGGGTCTCTGCTAAACCGCAGATATTTGTCATCCACATGACAACGCATCATAAACTAACATATAAAAAACCTCAGGGAAAAGTGAAGACTCAGTTTATGCATTTGCGTGTATGAGATATCCGGAGTTTTGCGTTTTCGCACGTCACAGTATGCCCCCAAAACAACAACAAACAAAAGGTGCGACCTCTGATCACTGAAGAAGCGTGGATCTTACTGCCTTAAAAACTGTTCTGTCCTCGCTCCACATCAAAGAGCAGCAAAGTGATCAGGGGACTAAAATAACCAAAACAGGAGCTAAACCAGGACTAAACCAGTGTTCAGGACGGGGGTCAGTGCTTGTGAACATATGTCTTTATCCTGAGTTTGTACTGTGACTGTAAAAGTGCCGCTACAGAAGCACCGGCAGATGTTCGATTATGTGCGGATGCAAATTATTTTGTAAACAGATGGGGGGAATTATTCGGTTTTAAAAAATACCCGGCTACGTGTGGACATGGCCAAAAACTCATCCAGTGAGAAACGTTCCGCGGTGCAAAAATAAATAGAATGAAAATGAGTAATTTTTTTAACACGCTAATTTTTTGTGTAATTAATTAATCTCAATTAACGTGTGACAGGGTTTTTTTCAGAGTCAGGTACCTCGGGTTTAAAGGCTGACGTGTCTGGTATGAGAGTGAGCGATGGTACCTAGCATCTTGTAGGCGCGTTTGGAAGAGTACTGCCTCCTCATCTGCAGCGGAAACACGATGCCCTGGTACCTCTCGATGGCGATGCAGGTCATGGTCAGGATCCCGGTCACGATCGCTGTGGTCTGAACGAACGGGACCGTCTTACACACCAGCACACCTGCAAGCAAACCAGATACCATGGGGATCAGAGAGAGACCAGAGAGACCAGAGAGAGAGACCAGAGAGATCAGAGAGAGACCGGAGAGGGCAGAGAGAGACCAGAGAGGGCAGAGAGAGACCAGAGAGATCAGAGAGAGACCAGAGAGGGCAGAGAGAGACCAGAGAGGGAAGAGAGAGAGCAGGGAGAGAGATCAGAGAGAGACCAGATAGATATTATAGAGAGAGATCAGAGAGAGAGCACAGAAAGGGACCAGAGAGACCAGAGAGAGGCCAGAGATTGAAAGCAGAGAGAAAGACCAAAGAGACCAGGGAGACCACAGAAAAAGGGGTCAGAGAGAGAGAGCAGAGAGAGAGTGCACATGTGGCGAATGAGAAGTGTGCTGTAAAAATGCACACGGCGAGGCCACAAAAGGTGAGTTGCTTTACAGTGAGTCACACCTGGGAGTGAGGGGTTGAGCGGCTGTTATTTATCTGTTATGACAAGGACACAGCTGGGAAAATTGCATGTGAGGAATCCATTTCATTAAAAAAAATATATATAGAAGATATAATTTCTCTTCCTCCTTAAACCCTGGTGTTGAAATTGACCATAAAGTGCTACAATGGTTGGAAATGTTGAGTGGTGAAAACTAAACTAGGACTCAATAGTAATACAAAGATGACCAGAGAGAGAAACCAGAGAGAGACCAGAGGGAGACCAGGGAGAGACCAGAGAGAGACCAGAGAGAGACCAGAGAGAGACCAGAGAGAGACCAGAGAGAGACCAGAGAGAGACCAGGGAGAGACCAGAGAGAGACATGAGAGAGACCAGAGAGAAAACAGAGAGCGAGACCAGAGAAAGATCAAAGAGAGAAACCAGAGAGAAAGACTAGAGAGAAAGACCAGAGATAGAAACCAGAGAAAGAGACCAGAGAAAGACCAGAGAGAGACCACAGAGAGACCAGAGAGAGAACAGAGAGAAACCAGAGAGAGACCAGAGAGACCAGAGAGAGAACAGAGAGAAACCAGAGAGAGACCAGAGAGACCAGAGAGAGAACAGAGAGAAACCAGAGAGAGACCAGAGAGAGACCAAAGAGAGAAACCAGAGAGAGACCAAAGAAAGACCAAAAAAAGAGACCAGAGAGAGAAACCAGAGATAGAGACCAGAGATAGAAACCAGAGAGAAAGAGAGAGCGAGAGAGAGAGAGAGAGAGAGACCTGAGATAGAAACCAGAGATTGAGACCAGAGAAAGACCAGAGAAAGAGGGAAGCACATTGGGGCAGTGAAGACCATCAAACAGAAAGAACTGAAACAAAGTGAAACAAAACCTCAAGAGAAATGAACCAAATCCTGCCTCACATCCACACTGTGACAGGAGAGGAAGTCTGGGCTTTTCTGCACAGACCGTTACTTTACAACAAAACCTGAAAAACCAAGAAGAGACTGACGAGAGAGTGGAGTACAAAGCCGGGGCTATTTGTGGACGATGCTGTTCTTCACATGGGTGCTCTGTCACTGCCTTCTGCTGCTGCTTTCTATTCACTCAGTCGTCAGTATTCACCCTGACTGCACGGGAGGAGGCTACTGACGGCCTTCTGCCATTAGAGAGCAGATAGAGAGAGAGGGGAGGGGAGAGAACGAGAGAGCAGAGGAAGCAGAGAGAGAGGAGGGGAGAGAATGAGAGAGCAGAGGGAGCAGAGAGAGAGAGAGAGGGGAGAGAACGAGAGAGCAGAGGGAGCAGAGAGAGAGAGAGGGGAGAGAACGAGAGAGCAGAGGGAGCAGAGAGAGAGAGAGGGGAGAGAACGAGAGAGCAGACGGAGCAGAGAGAAGGGAAAGAGAGAGCATAGAGAGAGGAGAGAGCAGAGGATGCAGACAGAACAGAGAGGGCAGAGAGAGGGGAAAGAGAGAGAGAGAGGGGAGAGAGCGAGAGAGCAGAGAGCAGAGGGAGCAGAGAGAGAGAGAGCAGAGAGAGGAGAAAGAGAGAGCATAGAGAGGAGAGAGCAGAGGAAGCAGAGAGAGCAGAGAGGGCAGAGAGACAACAGAGCGAGAGAGCAGAGAGGGCAGAGTGAGAGCAGAGAGAGAGCAGAAAAACAAAAAAGAGTTGCTGTAGTAGCAGTAGTACCAGAAGTAGTAATATTGTAGTTCCAATAAATACAGTTAATTTACAGACCCCAGCTTTAAGTCACTCTTTTTAATCATAACTCACACTTTTACTTTCACTCAAACAGAACACATAGAGCAGCAGTGAGAACAGTGCAGCAACAGCCTGAGGCAGCGGCTCATCAGAGAGAAAGAGCAGAGTAATCAGTCTCACAGTAATTATCACCACCACCATCAAACAGATCGACACCTGAGCCCCAGCTGTCCTCGTGAGCCTGCTCTTCTCTCCCAACTGCAAAACACTGAAGCCAAACTGCAAAAGTCTTGAGAATACTGCAGAAAATGACTTGCAGACAGAGAAAAGAGGGAGCAGAGAGAAGGGAAAGGGAGCGCAGAGGGAACAGAGTGAGATAGCAGAGAGAGGGGAATGAGAGAGCATAGAGAGGAGAGAGCATAGAGAGCAGAGAGAGGAGACGGAGAGCAGAGAGAGGAGACGGAAAGCAGAGAGAGGAGACGGAGAGCAGAGAGAGGAGAGAGCATAGAGAGCAGAGAGAGGAGACGGAAAGCAGAGAGAGGAGACGGAAAGCAGAGAGAGGAGACGGAAAGCAGAGAGAGGAGACGGAGAGCAGAGAGAGGAGAGAGCATAGAGAGCAGAGAGAGGAGACGGAGAGCAGAGAGAGGGCATAGAGAAAGACAGAGCAAAGGGAGCAGAGAGAGAGAACAGAGATAGGAGAGAGAGGAAAGACAGCAGAGATAGAAAAGAGAGAGCAGAGAGAGATAAGAGAGAGCGCACGGAGAGCAGAGATAGATAGAGTTCATAGCCTGTATGAACTGTGCTATACAAAAACATTTACCTACAGCCTTAGCAGTCTGACTAAAAAAAAACACATATAATGGAGTCAGGTGGTGCAGAGGGAGGTAAAAGCTTTTCGGGGACACAGGTGTGAGGCAGCAGCAGACTGTGATGTTCCAGGAGCAAAAACACATCTTCGACCTTTTTGTTCCTCCTTTTCTACAGCAGCAGTTTCTCTCACTGTCTGAAAAGTCAAAAAACATCAACGTTTACATTAGCTCAGTTTTCACCCTGATTTTGGATTTGTTCTACTGCACTGAGGCTGCTACAAGAGAGAGAGAGCAGAGAGAGAAGACCAGATAGAGAGAGAGAGAACACACAGAGAGGAGAGCCGATAGAGAGAGAGAGAACACAGAGAGAGGAGAGAGAGAGCAGAGAGAGGAGAGAGAGAGCAGAGAGAGAGAGAGAGAGAGAGAGAGAGGAGAGATACCAGAGGAAGAGACCAGAGAGAGAGAGCAGAGAGAGAGAGCAGAGAGAGAGCTGCAAGAGAGAGGAAAGAGAAAGGAGAGATCACAGAGAGAGAGACCAGCGAAAAATCAGTGAGAGAGAAGACCCAGGGATTATTATTATCAGCGTATAATAAAGAGGTTAAATGGGCTTTTTCAAACTTTTTGGGAGCACAGCATGAAAAGTGTTTATACAGTAATGAAAAACAAATGTCTCAAAAAGAAGGGCCTTGAATTTATAAAACATTCATTGCCAAAGATGCTGTCCGTTGAATGGTCTGTCGCCGCGGTGATGTGCAAGAGAGGGAGAGAGAGAGTTCAATGGAAATGTAAATACATAAGAAATATTATGCAATACTTTCTACAATAGAGAGAGAGAGAGAGGTCTGTATGTATACTGAGACAGGAGAGACTAGAGAGACCAGAGAGACACCAGAGAACCACCAGAGAGAGACCAGAGAGAGACCAGAGAGTGACCAGAGAGAGACCAGAGAGTGACCAGAGAGAGACCAGAGAGTGACCAGAGAGAGACAAGAGAGAGACCAGAGAAAGACCAGAGAGAGACCAGAGAGAGACCAGAGAGAGACCAGAGAGAGACCAGAGAGAGACAAGAGAGAGACCAGAGAGAGACCAGAGAGTGACCAGAGAGAGACAAGAGAGAGACCAGAGAGAGACCAGAGAGTGACCAGAGAGAGACAAGAGAGAGACCAGAGAGACACCAGAGAGAGACCAGAGAGAGACAAGAGAGAGACCAGAGAGTGACCAGAGAGAGACCAGAGAGAGACCAGAGAGTGACCAGAGAGAGACCAGAGAGAGACAAGAGCGAGACCAAAGAGAGACCAGAGCGAGACCAAAGAGAGACCAGAGAGTGACCAGAGAGAGACAAGAGAGAGACCAGAGAGAGACCAGAGAGTGACCAGAGAGAGACAAGAGAGAGACCAGAGAGTGACCAGAGAGAGACAAGAGAGAGACCAGAGAGAGACCAGAGAGTGACCAGAGAGAGACAAGAGAGAGACCAGAGAGAGACCAGAGAGACACCAGAGAGAGACCAGAGAGAGACCAGAGAGAGACCAGAGAGAGACCAGAGAGAGACCAGAGAGAGACAAGAGCGAGACCAGAGAGAGACCAGAGAGTGACCAGAGAGAGACAAGAGAGAGACCAGAGAGAGACCAGAGAGTGACCAGAGAGAGACTAGAGAGAGACCATAGAGAGACCAGAGAGAGACCAGAGAGAGACTAGAGAGAGACCTGAGAAAGACCAGAGAGACTAGAGAGTAGGGGTGGGAACCTAAGGGTACCTCACGATACGATACGATACACGATACAAAGCTCACGATAACGATATTACCACGATAACGTTTTTATCACGATATGACGATTATCGATATATTGGTCAGAAATATACAATATGCCAATTTATGGCATAAATAAAAGAAAAAATACACTTTATTTCATTATAAATGGAATGGAGATGCGTAATGTAGCCATATATTAAGTATTAATACCAATTTTAAAAAAGAATTTTCAAAATCGATATTGATACTTGGTAAATGCGTATCAATAATCGAATCGCGGGAGAAAGTATCGCGATATATCGATATATCGTCACACCCCTACTAGAGAGCGGCCTTTATGTAATCTGAGACTACATTTGTTGTTCACCTTTAAAGCCTCAGCAATTAAAATGAAGCTCAAGCGGATGTTCAGACTGAAAGACCGAGTGCCTGCCAGCCTCGAGCCTCAGCCAATCACACAGCCAGGCCAGCCTCCTGCCAACCCTCTCACAGCAAAGCGGGCAGTTTAAAAGCAAGCCCCGGCGATCCAAGATGGCGCCCTATTCAAATGAATGGTTGTGCTCAGTGGCGCTTTGTGACGGCATGGGGGCTGAAAGATTAGCGGAAGTTGCCTGGAACTCGCAAAGATCTATGGGAAACTCGCCTGTATTTGGGCATCGTCTGGTCCTCCCGGTTCTGCGCAGTGGATGATCTCCCATAATGCGTTGCGCCAAACACACGTGTGTGGGTCTCACACCGGGTCTCACGCACGTGCACAGAGGGGCTCGGCCGCGCTCTGACCAATCAGAGCAGTTCATCAGAGCGGGAGTTAGAGCGAGAGCCAGAGGAGCAGAGTTTGTGGCACTAAAGTGTGGATTTAAACAAAACCGAAGGATTTAAGAAGAAAAAAAGTTCAGGACGACAAGGGACACTAAAATCCCCACAAAATCCGATCTTTATTAAAGCTGTAGGTTCTCTGTCAGCTGAGGTTGAGCTGTTTTAATATGCATTGAGTTCTATGGGGAAAATTTCTGGGTAGCCCACGTGAATTTAGTCTGGTTCAGTCTGCAGTACCGCGAGAATCCCCTGAGCACGTGAGTTATTCAGCTACAAGCTAGTAATACCCTATCCAGTTAATATAATACATCCATGTTTAAAAGGCAGCCACTTCCTGACAAACAACGCTTCCTGAGGCTCTTAAACAACCATGGGCATGGTTCTCTGACCGCCGCTGCTGCCGGTCCCTGCTGCTCCTACTAATGCCTGTTCCCTGATGCCTGCTCCCCGTTCCTGCTGCTACTACTGATGCCTGTTCCCGCTGCTGCTGCTGCCTGTTGCTGCTGCTCCTACTGATGCTGCCTGTCCCTGCTGCCTGCTCCTGCTGCTCCTACTGATGCCTGTTCCCGCTGCTGCCTGTTCCGCTGCCGCTCCTGCTGCGCCTGCTCCTGCTGCCGCTCCTGCTGCTCCTACTGATGCCTGTTCCCGCTGCTGCCTGTTCCGCTGCCGCTCCTGCTGCGCCTGCTCCTGCTGCCGCTCCTGCTGCTGCCTGCTCCTGCTGCTCCTACTACTACACGTGCCGCTGCTGCTGTTCCTGCCGCTGCCGCTCCGCGGGCTCCCAGGCTGCACCTGTCTCTACGGCTCGGCTCTTTCAGACACGTATGTAACCTGCCTCACAGAGACGAGCGGCGCACGCTGGCGTGACATGGTCTGCTTGCCCGTATGAATCGCATTGTGGTTGCGTCGTACGTGCTTGTCCCGGGCCCGTGATTGTCCCGTGCCATCGTTTGTTTGGGGTCTGTTCCTGCTTTGACCCGCTCTGATCTGCTCGTCAGTGCTTATTGGCGCCGCTCCTTACACACGTTCTGGCTCCGTGTCACTGCTGCTCAAGTCTCCTCCGTGAGACAGTTCAAACTCCAGCGTGCTTGGTGGCATGCAAAATTACATTTTGGAGTCTTCCCTAATCAGTCTCCTTCTAAGGCCCGAATTGTTCGTATTAAGGCTTAATGTATCGGTCTCCGAGGCTTAACGACATATTGCACGTTCAGGGTGAATAGGAATCTGCAGCTTTGGCGCCTCTCTGATTTGGTTGCTCCCATAAGGTGAAGAAAGTGCGTTTAGCTTCATGGCCCTGTCACGCGCATAATGGCGTATGTGAATGCATGTTGTATAGCAAAGCATGGCAAGTTTATTTGTATAGCACAATTCATACACAAGGCAATTCAAAGTGCTGAACAAAATAAGAAAGCATTAAAATCATAGATATTCACAGAGCATTAAAAAAGAAGGATAGAAATATACGTTTTGACCTTGTCTTAAACATTGTCAGAGTGGAGGCCTGTCTCGCATCTTCAGGAAGATTGTTCCAGATTTTAGCAGTGTGAATCTGAAAGGCAGCCTACCCACGTTAGTTCTGACTCTGGACACTAACAGGAGTCCAGTCCCTGTGCTCCTCAGAGTCCGGGCTGGTTCATATGGGACTAACATGTCACTACTATATGTTGGTGCGAGGCCATGGAGGGACTCGACTTGTATATGTGCATGCACATGTAGGTACGTGGTATACGTGCATATTATGTATATGTATATGCGTACGTGTTTTATAGTCTTAAGCTCGCTTCGCTCAGTTCTCATCAGGGCTGTCTCTGCTCTCGTCAAACTTTCCGTAGTTTAATCGTAATTATGATTAGATGCTTTGCAATGAATGATGTGAGTTACCTTCGCTGGTCGTCGGGCTATTCCGTTAAAAGACAACCTGTTCCAACTGAGGCCAAGGGAATCCGGGTTCGTAAATACTTATTCGGTGTCATCCATTCTACTTCAGCGCAGCCAATATAGACGTGTCGTAACCCGTTCTGAGATGTTCTGTTCTCGGTCGGGCTCGAATCTCCGCTAATCTGTAGCTAGCGAGACGACAGGAGGTCGTCATTCAGCCAACTTCAGCTCTTTCATAGTTCGTCCTAAAGTTCGGACCAGTCCAATGCGGTTTCGCCTATGTGTCGGCCCCGGGACTAGTCTGGCGGACTGAAGCGGCCCTCGTACTGAAATCCTCGAGCCCCCTCCGCGTACAGTGAATATTGCTCATAGGGACGCGTTGCCCCAGGTCATTAGCAGTGTGTTTCATTTTATCCTGAGCAGGCTGGTGTCGATTATCTAAAGTAGTTTTATGCTTTGTTCCACCTCCGTGCGGAGTTTTGCATGTTCTCCCCTCGTCCGGCCGGTTTGCTCCGGATCCTCCACGTGCTCTGGCCTTCCCTCACTGCTACCGCGTGCATTGATCCGCCCTGCGCCTCATACGGGCGATCTCTCTCCGATTCTCCGCGCGGAGTCGGGGGGCAGCATCCACAACGGTCACATGCTCTCTGCCGCACTCTCATGGCTCTGAGTCATCGTAACGGTTGCTCGCTCTACTGCTCGTTCTCAGGTGCCGCTCTGTTCGTACTTATTCTGCTCCGTGGCCGCTCTTTGCCGTCGTTCTGAGTTTCCTAATTGCATCAAGATAGCTCTCTCCTGTCCAGAAGGAGATTCGGTCGGTTCTTGTTTAATCTCTCCCTTATGTTGCAGGGCGCTCTTGCTGCACGGCCGCGCCTCGCGAATTATTCTCGTAGCAATAGGCCCTGTCATTCCCGCGCGGGGCATGCCCTTCCTACGCGGGGCTCGTCCATCTCAAGCCGGGCAGGCGTCTGGCCGTCACACTGGCCACCCGGCACACGTGATGACCCTCATCGAAGGTTTCGTAAATGCTCCCTCGGCTTGGACATGGAGAGAGAGAGGATAGGAGGAGGAGGACCAAGGTCTCTTGAATCCGTGTATCATTCGTTCTTTTGATTTTCTAAATAAAACCAACATTGAAAAAACGAATAACGAGGGATGTTTTTGATTCTCAATATTTGAATTTAATGCAAAATTGAAATATCGGTTTGTTTTTGGTTTTCTGTGGATCTAATTAAAACGAAAATGCAGTAAACCAATAATGATCGTCTAAATTACTTTTTGCGATTTCCATTTGAAACACAAGAATCCCCCGGAAGTGATTCGCAAGTGCGCACCCCGCAGGTAAACAGTGGAGTAGCGGTGGAGATGAACTAAATGATGGGTGCGTTGGAAGACTTTGCAGATACAGCGATAGAATGGTTCTAAAACATTCAAACATATGCAGAAATATCAACCACGTTACACCGACTAGGTGTGTCCAAATGTCAAGTCATCAGCTGAGTCATGTCTCTTCTTTTGGATACAGTGGTTAATCACGAAAGCAAACTTTTTGAAGTGGCGTTATTTCATCGTATAGGGCTCACAGAAAGGTATTCTGAGTAAATGTATTCATTAAACATGGATCATGTTCCTACCCAGTATATACATACATACATTTTTTTTTACATATCAGCCACCTTAAAACTATTGCTGCTCCATCTCTTTTTCCTGGAATAATTTTATTTCAACATTCAAGAGGGATTCTGTCTCCCGAGGCTCAGGAATCACAGCTTGTTGTGTTTTGGCAAATTATGAAGGCCAAAGACTAAATTCATCATGTATGTAAATCTGTGTTTGTTCCAGTGTAAATATTTTTGATTAGTTTGTTCCCAAATTAAAACACACCTGGACACAATTCTGTACATTTTTTTTCTAAATTGTGTTGAATCGCAATGGAAAACCCGTTAAAACAAATACTAAACTATTAGTGGATTATGTATCAATAGATTTATGAATTAGGAAATGACATTCTTAACTAAATAAGACTGTAAAATGACAAGTTGTGTATTTGAATGTACCTTTACAGAACAACTTACACCTCAGACTTCCTTTCAGCAGCAACATGGGTCCAATTTTATTTAGACTTTACTAAGGACCTACATGCAAGCACAGGATCCAGAGCTAAGAATGAAAGAACAATACACAAAAAAAATAGCTGTGTTAAAAAGACACATAATCACATATTTACAGCAAGTCACACATACAAAGAAGCCAGTGACTCCAAAGTTTAGAAGTGAACCTGACTGAGCTAATGTAAGGGCAAACCAGGGACTGTACTATACTATTAGGTAACATCATGACTCTACACATGAACCGATAGTAGCAGTGACGTAGGAAAGGAGCGCACTCAGCACTCAGCAAACATCTGACTGGACGACTGTGTCTGGGTTCTTCAGGATCCTCCTCATTGAGTCATAGGAAACTGTTCACCTCTGCAGACTGACTGCTTGTAGCTCCGCCACAGTTGGTCTGTGAATAAAGGAGCCCAAAAAGACTGGAACAAGGAGGTTTTTACATTCACAGAACACACGTTAGACTTCATAACCAGCATGTTAGATTGACCATACAGTTTACATCTCTATCTGTGAGGTCACTGCGTGTGTAATGCCCATTAAGACCAGGACAACTGGATTTAAGAACAGTTTAGACTTTCAAATGTGACAGAACATAATGTACACTAATGAGTACGTGCTTTTTCATGCAATGATTCTAATTTTGTAACATAAATTTACAATGATAAACACGAGTTGAAAGTTTAAAATGTCAAGGAACAAAAAGGAGATTTGTAGATCAGTTATTATTAATTTTATTGCATTGACATAAACACATCCATCTTTGCAGATCACTGGTACAGGCCAGGACCAGCGTGAGAGCTTTGCAGATCACTGGTACAGGCCAGGACCAGCTGGAGAGCTTTGCAGATCACTGGTACAGGCCAGGACCAGCTGGAGAGCTTTGCAGATCACTGGTACAGGCCAAGGCTGGGAGTAGTGTGAAGTCTGAAACCTTTACCTGCTGCACACCCAGTGAGATCTAAAACAGAAAAGTGGGTTTAGAACAGACATATAATTATTACTTGTTATAACTTAACTATCTTATAAAGTCCTGCTGACTTTATAACTTTATAAGAGAAATAGTAACCACCAAACAGAAAGATGCTATGCTAGTCTTCTATCAGGACAGGAACTCAAGCTGAACATGAGCCCAGCGGCTTTGACTGTTTCAAAGCTGCAGTCTTTCTGACTGTTTCAAAGCTGCAGTCTTTCTGACTGTTTCAAAGCTGCAGTCTTTCTGACTGTTTCAAACCTGCAGTCTTTCTGACTGTTTCAAACCTGCAGTCTCTCTGACTGTTTCAAACCTACAGTCTCTCTGACTGTTTCAAACCTGCAGTCTTTCTGACTGTTTCAAAGCTGCAGTCTTTCTGACTGTTTCAAACCTGCAGTCTTCCTGACTGTTTCAAACCTGCAGTCTCTCTGACTGTTTCAAACCTACAGTCTCTCTGACTGTTTCAAACCTGCAGTCTTTCTGACTGTTTCAAAGCTGCAGTCTTTCTGACTGTTTCAAACCTGCAGTCTTTCTGACTGTTTCAAAGCTGCAGTCTTTCTGACTGTTTCAAACCTGCAGTCTTTCTGACTGTTTCAAAGCTGCAGTCTTTCTGACTGTTTCAAACCTGCAGTCTTTCTGACTGTTTCAAACCTGCAGTCTTTCTGACTGTTTCAAAGCTGCAGTCTTTCTGACTGTTTCAAAGCTGCAGTCTTCTGACTGTTTCAAACCTGCAGTCTTTCTGACTGTTTCAAACCTGCAGTCTTTCTGACTGTTTCAAAGCTGCAGTCTTTCTGACTGTTTCAAAGCTGCAGTCTTTCTGACTGTTTCAAACCTACAGTCTCTCTGACTGTTTCAAACCTGCAGTCTTTCTGACTGTTTCAAACCTGCAGTCTCTCTGACTGTTTCAAACCTACAGTCTCTCTGACTGTTTCAAACCTGCAGTCTTTCTGACTGTTTCAAAGCTGCAGTCTTTCTGACTGTTTCAAAGCTGCAGTCTTTCTGACTGTTTCAAACCTGCAGTCTTTCTGACTGTTTCAAACCTGCAGTCTTTCTGACTGTTTCAAACCTGCAGTCTTTCTGACTGTTTCAAAGCTGCAGTCTTTCTGACTGTTTCAAAGCTGCAGTCTTTCTGACTG